CCTCGACGGCTTTGAGCTAACATGCAGAATTGACGGTGGGTACGATGATAGTGTGTTAACCTGTGCGTGTGAATCGTGATATCGACATCTAAATACTGCCTTTGCAAGCCGAAGGTTCTTCTATCACCGGAATACCCCATATCTGCTGGACACTTTGGACTCTATCGCCCTGGATTGTGAGGGACAGACACACTGTGACTGGAGGCAGATTCTCTCTCGTGGAATTACGGATATACGGACTTGGCATTCACAGTGTGTAACTGTGTATGTGTATATCTGTTCATCGCCCAACCCAACCCCCTTCTCGAGTCGAGTGACCCGACGGTCGACCCAAGCCCTTGACCGCCGTCTCGTTGTTGTTGTTTTTTGCTGTGTGAACTAGGTCTCTCTCGATAGGGGTGTGTGGCTCACGATCGTGACCTCCTCACCTTACCTCATCCTCGAAATGGACCGCGTGACTAGAAGCATCGGGACGTGCCCGCCCACCGCTTCTGGTTGGGGGTAGGGGAAAAGAGGGGTAAGTGTAATGCTGGTGAAAATTCTGCAACGCGCCTTTTTTTTTCCCCCTCTGATTCTCGTGACTTCTATGAATGAGAGAGAGAAAGGACACAGTAACGTAACAGTCTTGGGAAGCAAATTCAGAGTCTGGCGGGTGACGAGGTAACGATGAGTTTGTGCAGAAGCAACGAGGGGGGGGTGATTCTCGATAGAGAGAGAGAGAGAGGAGGGTGGCGGGTGTACAAGAGAGGAAGAACAATTTCGTTAAATCTAATACAGGAGTGACAGCAAAAGTGAAGACAGACAGACGTATATATATATAGTTATAACGTTATATAACTAAGTTATATATAAATGAAAATTGATAAACAAAAGATCATTGACCAGCCTGGGGGTCGAACCCAGAATCTCCTGATACCGTTTCACTTCTCCCACATGTTCCCTCGTACAGCAGAGCCGCACGAAATGCTATGAAAAAAGAGTCGTAGTCAGACGCCTTGCCATTGGGCCAACCGGCCGTTCCTGTTCGAACGTGTCAGATCCGTCTTGAGATCTGGATTTGTGTGGTTCTCTTTTTGCGGAGGTGGGTTTGATCTTTGTGGGCTTTTTGGGTCGCGAAAGTTTGTTCTGTTTGTGGACTCAAAGGGGGGGCAAGCGCGCGCGCGCCGGCGCGGGAGGATTTTCTGGTGGTGGACCGTGGAGGGACGGGAAGGGAATGTGGACTTTCTGATGGAGATTTGCTTGGTGATCTGATGGGTATCATGGAGGATGTGCGTTTTTGTCTTGGCTTGGGGGGTCCAGTTTCGGTATGGAGTTGTTTTGGGTTGCTGGTGAGAAGGTCACGAGGCTGAGGTTTGTTGGGTTTGGTCGGTTTAGCTTGACAGGACCCAAGAGGCTCTCGTGTAGGATCAGACGGGATGATAATGTCTCGATTGCTCGCTCTATTTTGGTTCCAGTATCTCTACTCGAGCCATATATCGTTTGCTTCTCTGCCTAGACTAGAATGGCAGGCCTGGAGTCCGTGAAAAAGGCATGAGTGAGGGGCTGCGAGGCCTCTGGTGAAGAGGATAGCGGCCAAGACCTCTTGACAGCGTGAATCTATTCACCTCTATCTTTCCCATAAGTGTTTGACAAGACAAGAATATGGGGTCGTCCTCTCTGGAGGCGCCTTAATATGTTCAAGGTGCGTCAGAACCACGAGAACGGCCGCTCTGGCTTCCCGACGGACTCAGGCGTCAACCAGACCTAGAGATGGACCTTGCTTTCGCCGCGGCTCTGTTCTCACTTTTTGTAAGGTGCTAGCGCATTACGGCGTAGATGGGGATTTTTGGCGGAAGCACTTCGCTTTCCTCCATGGCGCGATCCATGTGGATTTAAATAACTCTAGAGGCTTGGTCTTGGAAGACTTGGTGGCATAGGCTCTGGGCAAGGCTACGCTATGGAGACGTCGAGGATGAGACTGGCCAATTAACTAACAGGTTGGCGGGATTTTATGCTGAAGGCCTACTCTCCTCGGTAAGTAGTCATCCAAAAGCTCTTTGTTGCATGCGTGGTATGATGTCTGGGAAACAACATACATGTAGAGAGATCCTCTATACGAGTCGATGAAAGTAATAGTCCTTGAGGTGGCAATTCTGGCCTCGAAATTTGACGAGGAAGCACGAATACATATCTAGCCTTGTTTTGTTACTTGTTCCGTGATTAATCACTCAGATGGTTTTGAAGGTTGTGGTTGTATGTTTGAGTTGTTACACTATCTCGACTGAAGCAGCTATGGAGGCTACACGGCTTGAAGAGCTAACTCGGGATCATCTAGAAAAGGCCGAGCCTACCTAGAGAGCTATCCTACCTTGACATGGAGCTAGATCTGAAGTGACGAGAAGATTTATGTTCTCTTCTCGGTGTGTGAAACCATGTTTAGCAGAGGCGGGATAGAACTGATGGTCGAGCAAGAGCGGCTATTATATTGGGTTTGTAAAGCATCTTCTCATATACACAGCACGGTAAGGAGGAGTCCGAGTATCCTCTCAACTGCTGAGTTCCTGGATTCATTGTAAGGTCAAAGATGATGAGAATCGCAACCACGTGCACGGAGCAGAAGTAAATGGCTCGCCAACGCGGTCACAAGAAGTGTTGGTCAAGCATAACTTCACATCATGAGAACGTGACTTCTAAGCAGCTGTTCCTAGTATCTACCAAGAGATTCAGCCACGAGAATAGCCTCGACGCGGGCTTTATTGCCGCAAAGGAGCGGCGGTTGAGTACATCTCGTACATAATTCCACCTGCAACATGGACATCAACTCCCTCTATCGCAGTCTCAAGCACCCACGTGACCAACCACATCGAACATGAGAGTGAGCTGATCACGAGCCTCGCAAGTTGCTCGTGCCCTGCAATAGAATAGTGATGCAATTTTCATGCAGTGGTCGCGTTTGCTTCTTGTTGGTTGGCCTCCAGTCTTTTGGCAATCGTTGACGCTGCTTTCTTCACAAAGTCGGTCTCGCTCGGCGTTGACTATACTTCAATTCCTCTAGATAGTCTCGCATACACTGATCATCTGAGTAATAGTGTTGTTCGTCTTACACATCTGAATATAAGAAACTGAGAGAGAGACAGCAAGACATAGTGAGATTGAACAGGTAACCTCGTCATTTCCGCATTTTGTTATAAGCGTGGTTGATATCTTGTTCCCGCATATCAGTCCATCCACATCAACGACAGGACGTCGTGGATCCCGAGCGCTACTTTGTGTGTCTCTAACTACCCGTCAACCGTTGCCACAGGGGATACGATCAAGCTTTGTATAAAAGCTCGTCTTGAACTTCGTCTTCACTTCGTCTCGCAGGGCCCATCATGACCATGGAGACGTACTGATAAACGCACAACGAAAGCCTCTCAGGGCTTCGACAGACTCCAACTTTGGTCTCTTCTTCCCAGTCAATCGCCGTGCAAGCAAGTCACTGGGGAATCCGAATAAGCCCAAGCAAACATGAGATACATCGTCAACAGCACGTAGGAAGTCAAGAAGCACAGGCGCACCTTCTTTCCTTTCCCCGTCGCTGGGCTTGTCTCGATTCCGAACGGTCGTTATAGATATCCCAAACGCTACATATTCTCAAAGAACCAATTACAATCACCTCGGAAGAGACATTTTCGTATCGCGATAATTCCGAGAATCCATTCAGTCACTCATGGGCGGGGTATCTACCCAACTCACATGGCATATACCCAACCCGGTTGGTTTCGTATACTCCTCTTCGACTTTTTCTCACAGTAACCCGTGAGACTACCCTCACAAGACACGCGAGCCGTTGCCGTGGAGTTTCCTCTATCCCTCTAAACTACCCTGGCCCTGAAGGAGAAACACCTTCATCAAGATAGCTCGAGACGCAAAAGACGTTGCCAATATTCTAAAAGACGAGCCCCACCCGCCCAGAGACTCGACCTGAACCAGGGAAAGCTACGTATCCAGGGACTAGGCCCCTCTACCAGTTGGCGAGCACATCTACACACCTTGACAGCCCAGTTGATCCAAACTCAGAAAGAACATCGAAACACGAATAGAAACCCCAAAGAACACCCACTCGCAGACCTCTGCTACAAACAAGAAAGTAAACAGATGTTGTGTAAACGCCCTCCTAACTACGTACATCCACTCCGACGGCAAAGGAATTGGCTCTGAGAATGCTCCTTAACATAAAACTGAGACCTCTTAAAAGTCATGAACCTACCCAAAGAGCTCTCCATATAACAGAAGCCTTCTATATACTAATGCGTCTACTCCCGCGTCTGTGTCTTTTCAAGCGAGTCTCATAGATACCCCCTATATGCCCATTGGAACTCCACTTGTCAGCACGACGAGATGAGACTCGGGGCTCAGCAAGTCAATCTTGACGGAGACGGTACCCAACATAGAAATATATTCACCGCCAAATTCCGGAACCAAATATCCTCACCTTCGACCGCGAGAAATGAGCACGAGACTCTGACTAGCTTCATACGCACGAAAAGGGAAAATGGAGTACAAATCTAACTATTCCCATCTCCCTTCATATATCGATAAGGGAGGGACAGACAGCAGCGCATGGAGGCAAAGAAAAAATCAGTGCTTCAAATATGATGTCGAACCCACGAGATTTCCAAATGGCCATTGCAAATAGTGTAATCAGACGCCAGCCTACTACGGGGAGCACTTAACCACTAGACACTCTTCAGGCGGGTGCTTTACTCCCAGAGGTGAAAACATCTTATTCCTCTCTGTTCGTGTTGAACTTTTGGGCCTTATATACCTACGCCCCGCCACCACCACGCCTGGACCCATCTTCTACCCTTTGAACCAGCAAGAATCTTATACGACACACGAGCAAACGTCACCGGAGACAGAGCCACCCCCCTCTCCCCATCAGGAACCGGAATCAACGAGACCTTGACACAAAGGCCAGCCTCGCAGTACGACACGCGCTTAGAGGAAGAATCCAGCACACCGCAAAAGAACACTTGCAAAGTCTGAAGGATTCTATACCTATCCTTTCCCGAGTATCATACAGGTTGGGCTGCCAAACTCGTCATATCACAGACGAGAGAAAATCCTAGACGAGGGGCCAAAAGGAGATCTTCGCAGGCTCGCTCGCAGCCATGTCCATCCCGAGACCACAAATCTCTCTCACTCTCTCTGCTGGTATCCGTTCCACTTCTTCATTATCAAGCAACAAGAAAACGCAATAAAAAAGCATCCCCCACGCCTCACACCCCGAGGTTTTTTGATATGTCCCTAAAACTCCAGAACACAATGTGTGCAGCCTTGCCACAGTAAAACAGTGAACAATGACCTTTGAGACTGTCAATGTCACAACCAGATATAATTCCCATGCCTGCGCTGTTGCCGCCGTAGTCGTCCAGGAAGGTAATCCAACCCCCCCTGAAGGACTTGATGAAACAAGAACCCAGTCGTCCCCGACTTCGCGCGGGCCAAAAGCTTGGAACTACTTGAGCATGGAGTGAGTGCGGATACCCTTGGGGCCAAGCTCACTGCGGAGATGTTAGTAAAAGAGTCCAAGGCTACAATGAAACGGGCAGTGAAGGCAACGGAGAGGAAACATACTTGTAGTCGACTCTGCTCAGGCTAGCTTGACGCTGAGCCTCGAGACCGGCCATATCGAGGTTGTGCTGGCAGAAGGCGATGCGCGCGGCAACCTGCGCTCCCAGGAACATGGCCTCCTCGAAGCCGTTCTTGTTCCACTCGCTGAGGTAGGTGGGCAGCGTCGCCAGCTTGATGCTAGTGGGCGTCTGGCTGTGGAAATGATGGCCCGCGACGGAGTGAGTGCCGTTGGGACCCGCGTCGCCACTAGGACCCGGAGTGCCCTGGTTCTGAGCGGAAGCTGTGGTCGCGGCCTGAAGCAGGGGGTTAACGCCTGAGGAGCCGGCGGCAGCGTTGGCAGGGAGCTGGTGCGGGGCACCTGTGAAAGAGCCCGTAGGAGTCTGCGCGCCGGTACCGGTGGGGGTCGCGATGTTGGACGGCAGTTCAGAGGTGAACATTGTAGCCGTGCTGGGGGAGATGAGGTGGCGGGCCAGCAGTGTCTGGACAATGTTGTCCTTCAGACCGCGGAGACGTGCGCCATTGCCGACGAAGACGAGGTTGTCCCAGCACGGAGGACGCATGTACATATCGTCGATGCCTTGAACAGTGCGGTAGATTGTGGTCACGATGCGGTCGATCTCGCCACGGTCAGCAAAGGTGAAGCGCTCGAGGCCGACCTCAATGTCGCGACGGATGCGCTTGGCTTGCATCTGAGGGGTACCGTTGGTGGTAGCCTCTGCAGGGATCGTGGCGGAATGGCCGTTTGTACCATTCGTTTCGGGGGCAGTGACTGGGGCAGCAGCTGGAACTGCAGCACCTGTCGGCGCTGCAGGAGCCGAAGACTCTGCGGGCTTGACGTCGCCCTCGGTGGTCGTAGGAGCTGTGACGTCGGCGGGCTTGGTGCCATCCGTCATCTCAACGTCCTTGGACTCGGTCGCATTTCCTGCCTCTTCCTTCTTGGGCTCCTCCTTGGTCTCTGACTTGGGCGGCTGAACCTCCTCCATCACGACCTCTTCGAAGTGGAAGGTGTTGTGAGTTCTCTTGGAGTTGGGCAGACGAACTGGCTTCGCAGCCTCGGCTTCCTGGGTAGCCTTGGCCTTCCTGCCACCCTTTTGCTTCTCCTTCTCCTTCTTGGCGAGGAACTCGCGCGCATTTCCGCTCGTGACAATGGACGCCACATCGAGAACACCCTCCTCAGCCGCCTTCTCCTCAATGTCCTCCTCGGCGGCAGGGACGACCGGTTGCGCAGTCGGCGCGGCGGAAGGAGCCGCCTCGGTAATGAGTGCGCTGGGAGGAGCTCCTGCCGTCTGAGCTGTGGGGAGGTCCATGAGGATAGAGCTGTTTGGCGCATATGGCAGCACCTCACAGATGTGGCTCTTCTTCAGCTGCTCCGCCATGTCGTACTTGAAGTCCTTGTCCTTGAGCTTCTCAAGGAGCTTGCGCGTGAACATGTCTCCGCCCGAGATGAAGCGCTCCGGGGTCGGGGAACCGAGCTCTCCATGATTAACCACACGGCCGTCGTGTATACATGTGACGTCGACCTTCTCGTAACCAATGTCCACCACGGTGAGACTGGGCCACTTGAGGCCGTACTGGGTTGCGATACCGCTGTGGATCATGCAGAGGGAAGGAGTGCGAGTCTTTTCGAAGATGTAGCGCGCGATCGTCTCGGTATCGGGGCGGCACCATTGAGGCGAGGCCATGAGCATGATTGGGGTATTGTGGTAGGTGGTGGTGAGCATGCTGTGAACATGATCGAGGAACGCCAGGAACGCCTCCATGTTAATGATGCGACCGCCTGGAATAGGACACCAATTAGCACCCCAGACGTGAAATACTGCATTAGTAACCGGAGAACCATACCTTGCATGGGGTAGACAGCGCCTTCATCTGAGTCGGTATCCTCAACCCACTCGTACTCATCATCGTCGGTCCGCGGGCCATCGATGGCAAGCGCGACGTTAGCATTGGCCTTCTTGCGCTTGAAGGTGTGGAAGGGCCGCCACTCGTCCGTCTCGGCGTCCTTGAACATGCGTGTCGGGATACGGTGGACGGGCGGGGTAAGCTCGCCGCATCCCAGCTGGGCCATGGTGGTCTTGCTGCCGGGACAGATGATGAGGACCTGGTCCTCGCGGAACTTGCCCGTCTGGGTCGACATTTTGCCGGCGCGCGAAGCTTTCTAAGCACCGCTGGGAGTGTCCGTCAAGTTGTCGTTGTGCGCGAGGTTTCCTGGCGTGCGCGGGGTTTTGGCAGCGCCTTTTCTCGGAGTCTTCGTGGGCGTAACGGGGATCGTGGGCGGGCGAGGACGCGGACGAAGTCGAGTCGCGTAAGAATTGGCGACGTGCTCAGAGTCGCTATCGCTGTTGCTGCTGCTGCTGTTGGCACCTGGGCTGCCACTGCCCCAGCCAAAGCTGGAATTGGCTGGATTGAAGGTCCCCAAGATGGTCCGTGCCATAGGCATCGCATCATTGTTTCTCCGAGCCTTGCAACCATTGCAGGCACATCCCACACTGGTGTGTGAGCTGAATCTCATGATGAAATGTGTTGGACTTGTGGTGTTTGTGCTTGAGGAGAAAGAGGTTGATGAGAATTCCGCAAATCTTGGAGTTTTGAAAGGAAAGAGATCGGGGTTAGAGGGGGGCATTGAGAAAACCACTGCCTAGACGGACCACACAAGGCGGAGAAAGGCACCCAACCCTTGACCTCGAGCTGTGCCGACTTCACCTTCGTACGCAAGGTAAGGCGTGTGTGAACATGTGACTTCATAGTCTTGATGTGAGATCTGGCTTCACGGCTCATCAGGTTGTTCTGAATGATTGTTCATTATCTTTAGGCAATAAGTCCAAGACTAGGCTATCTGCGCTAGGTGACCAAGGACACCCCTTTTATAGCAGTCCAGCTCCATTGAGTTCTTTCACAGCACCTTGTAGGCTGCAAAGCATCGCCCGATATCTACACACAATCCGGTCTCCAATTCTGATGACCTCAGTGACCCTCAAGTACACTGCTGTGTCTGATCTTCCCCATGGTATGGTGTTGTTGGTGCCTTCTTTTCCCGGCCACTCTGATCTGTACATCCATGAACGCCTTTTGCCTGTCATAAAGTTGGTCATTATGTATAAACTGTTTGGTATCCTTAACCGAGGATGCCAGTCCCAAAATGTCCCAAACGCCTGGTACACACATCTTGAGTGATGAATGGGACACCTGAAGGGTCCCCAAAAGGTGCCGTGGCGCCTGTGTCGCTGAAAAGACTAGAAATAAACAAAAAGAAAATGAATGGTATCATGCGACATTGACTGTCTGGGGAGTGGCGTGTCGCGACTCGAAGCTTGTAGTTTCCCTCAGGGGTGTACCCATGGGGTTCATGAAATCTCCCTCATCCGGGAAGGCTCCAGGTGCCATGGGCGTCGCCTGCTCAGGTTCCATGATTGTAGGGGTTTGAAGGGCAGACACATACTCTGTGTGTTGCTTCTCGGTCACAACAGAGTCTGTCTTCTTCATCTTCTCCTCTTCGGAAACGTCCGGGGCCGTCTCTTGGATCGACGGAATGTTGTCCATTCCGCTTCGGATCGAGGATGAATCGATGGACTGTCTCGGCGAGAGAGTGAAAGAGGCCTGCATAGGGCTGTGAAGGTGGCTGACATCACCAATATCACTCTTGCTAGCACGAGAGGTTCTCATAGGGCTTCTGGCAGGGAGAGGCGGGGGAATCCTCTTGGGGATGGTAACCAAAGCGCCCTTGGCGTGGATGGGAGCAGCCATGACGACTGCAGCGGGCTGGACGGCTGCCACCTCGAAGATGACAGGCTCTTCAAAGTCCTCGTCTTCCTCCTCATCCTCCTCGTCATCGGCATCGGCGTCTGGCTCATCGTTCCGGGTATCCTCCTGCTCCTCGTCGTTTCTGGAAATTATGCTGGCATCGTCTTTCGTGTAGATGCTGGAAGCCTTAGTAGCGGCGTCATCCATAGTGCTGACATCGGTGCGCAGGTGGTCGTCGCTGTCAGTCATGACAGTTCCCTCGATCGAGTGGCTTCCGCTGATTTGCCTCAACGGGGTGAAGTCAATCTTGGTGTAGTCAACCTCCTCAGGCTCCTCCTCCTCCTCCGGCTCCTTGAGAACAGGGAGGCTGTTAATGGAAGCGCCGTCTTCGCTCTGGCTCTGGCTCTGGCTAGGCGAGGTGAACGGGGTCCCGGTCGGGTTTGACTGTGTCCAAGCCTCAGACATTTTGGTGCGGCTGGTCTTGGTAGACATTAGGCTGCCTCGGTTACTCTTCGTCGTAGTAAAGGTTTCACCGCTCTGCCTGAACTTCGAAAATGCTGGGCTGGAGGGAACAGGGTGGAATTCGAATTGGTTGCTCGTGGGTCGGAGGCGTGTGCCAGCCTCTCGGATCTCTAGTCCTGCCATCTCCAGAGCCAAGACACCGAAAGGATCAGGGTCCTCGGTGTTGGGAATGCCGAAAGGAGTCTTGGGTGATGCTGGCGAGCTCCGGGGCGTTTCGATCATGGCGTCTCCCGGTGCTGGCAATGCCGAAAGCTTTCTCAAGATGGCTTGGTCGGCATCGATCCTTCCTTCCGCCTCCTTAATGACTTCGAACAGAGGGCGTGTCTCCTCCACGTGCCTCGACACATTGCCTGCAACCACGTCCATCGCTGTTACGTTGCCACCGTAAAACCTCTCATTCTCGTTGGCTCTTTCCGTCAGGATACAGCCATTCAGGTTGACGGTCTGAGTCTGTCCCCTCGCCTTCATATATGTCAAAACGGTGTTGTCGAGGTCCTTCCACCGGCTGTCGACTTCCGTGGATTCCAGCGGAACCAGCGGTCCAGCAGTCAGGCCAATATCCTCGCCCAATGTGAGAGTCGGTTTAGTTATTAATGATTCGAGAGCGGCAATGTTGTTGATTACCAGGACACAGTCGTAAATGTCAATGCCCATGATAAAGCTTAATGAAGGCGTGTGGAGAAGGATGCCCGAAGGTGGCGACCAGGTGCCGTCAGCTTTGCGAGCAATAAGGATGCCTGAACCGCCTGATCCGGTCATCCACAGGCCAGATCGCATGCAAGTGAAGATGGCGATGCCTGCTGCATTTTGTAGGATACGTGGGGGAATCTTCTTGAAAATCCGTGCTGGGGTTTTCGGTTCGGCGTTGGCGTCGCTACTTGGTTGTTCGTCCAAAGGTGCGAGGAAACCGTCGGCTAAACGAGCACAGTGGTGTTAGTGAGGAATCGCGGGATGATGCGGTCGAGCTTTAGCAACATTGTAGTTCTTGCCGAGGTATACTTACAGCAAAATGACTTTAATATGCGAGCTGCGCGCTCGCATTCACCGTCGAGAGTAGCCGGCCAGAAAGCCTCCCGACCAATTCGTGACGTTGTCGCTGAGACGAGGGCGTTGGTGGTAAGCGGCGCGGGAGGCTTGCTGGACCAGCGAAAGACCTTGTCGAGAGGAGATTTGATACTGCTTGCGGTGACCACACTGCTTCGGCCGTTGCTCGTAGTGCTGGCGTTGCTGGTCCTCCTCCTGGCTTCCCAGGATGGGAGAAAGCTCGAAACTCGTTGCATGGTTCTTGGCCCAGAATGGTGAGAATGGTGGTGGGCTTATTATGGGCGTTGGTGATGTCTTCCTGTCCCCGTTCGCGGATGAAGACGGGGGTACGAACGCAGCGACATGCGTCGAGGTATTCTGCGGTGTTGCTCATTCACAAACACCGAGAAACTCCAGCTCTCTGACTAGATCCCGCCGGTATGGGAAGAAGTTGAAGAAGCAGGAAATAAAAGCAGATGAGAGATTGGGGGAGGAATTTGGCTTTGTTAGACAGGATCAGTCCAGGTCCTCTGGGGTCAACTCAGCCTCCTCCACTTTGCGAAAGGCCGGGCGAAGCAGCGATTTTTGGCAAGGTGCAGCGCAGGAGCGACAGCGGATAGCATACAGTTTGTAGCAGCGGCAGGCTCACGGTTCACCACCCAAAATGCAGCGGGAACTTGAGGTGGGAAGGGGAGGGGGGGGGGGGGGGGGGGTGTCGTGGGTGTGTGGGAATAGTATAGGTTACGGGCCAAGCGGGGAGCAGTGGGTGTGTGTGGTTGCAGACGGGGTGGGCGGAATTTTGCTGCTTGGGTCCTTGAGAGGGGCGTGGTTTGCCGACAAGGGAGGGGACGGGAGAGGCCTTGAGAAAGTTGGGAGAGAGACTGGCGAGAGGGAAAAAGGAAAGGTCTGAAAGTGGTTGCGCGCAGGTGACGTGGGCGACGAGGATGACAAGAGACGAATGATCCCTGTCCACCCTTGTTCGTTGACGACGCCGGGCCAGATGGGCCATGGCTCGCTCGGATCCAGGACCAGCATTTTATTATTATTTTTACACCAGACCAAGTACTAAAACCAGAACCAAGACCTGGCGGTTCATAGGCTTTGATGAGTCTTGAACCAGTTGAACGAACGGCAGACCCGGTGCCGTCAGGATTCCGAAGAAAGCGCCCGGTGGAGGCGAGAGACGCGCTTCACAACATTATGAGAAATGGCGTTACTACGAATACATACTCAGTACGCTAGAGTGAGGCGAGTATCCGTAATGAGATCGGGCAGCTCAGGTTCTCATTCTCAGCCAGACTGGGCCACTACCTAGATGAACTCAGCCAGGCAAGCCCGGGACATTGAGGGTGCTGTAAGTTTGACAAGGTCGGGTACCTCCACTGTCAAACTGTACTTAGTAACCCGGTAACCTTACAGAATTGCCCTGCGCGTTGAGTAATTAGGTGTTGCCTCGTGCGCAGACAAGATGATGCGATGACTGAGACCGGGGTCAGGGGGGGGGGGGGGACCTCTACGGCAGAGCGGGAAGATGGCGGGATGCAAAAGGTGAAGTCTTTGAGGTAAGGGTGACCACACGTGTTTTTCACACGATTCACAACTGTAGATGTTGCCATGTTGGTACCTGTTACGGATACGGTCTACCTCATCAAGTAAGGTACCTACATCAATACTACATCGTGGGTGGCATGCGTGGGTGAACTCGAATCAGGCAAGGCGAGGAGAAAATTGGGTGAGCAATTGGCCCCAAAGTCTGGCCCGATTGATTCAGCGCATGCTTTACACCTTTCAGGCGTGCACATGTCCCGGGGTACGTCAACCTGAGGCGGAGCCAAACTCTCAACTGAGGTATTCGCAACCTGACCGGACTGTAGGTATCCTGTATCCGTCACTACACGAATTAGTGCAGCCCACGACAAACGTATCCACGTTGACGATGAGGTACCGGTATCTGTACGCGGGACTGTGACTGGGACAGAAAGTACTGCGTCAGGTACCTACCTTGGCCGGGGGATGTCATCAGCGCTGCAGCTCGAGCGAGCATCCTTCACTTGCCGGTAGCGCCAAGGTCTGCAGCCTGACCTTGCGGCCGTGGACGCTTAGCGAACTTGGCTACAACGGGACTGACAGCAAAGTGCTTGCATTGAAGGATGACAACACCGTCCACGTCTGGCACCCAGACTAGTGCGACTAAGTTGCTTCCTCCCACTTACTTCGAGATGTGAGGGGAAGAAAAAAATGCAGTGCTTGACCGAGTTTGGGGGCGATATAGCGGATTGTATAGAAACGTGCAAGCAGCAGCCCGGAACCTCTCGGCAAGCACGCACTACATCCCGAGCAGGAATCAAGTACCCATCACGCATCACTTTAGACTCGGCCTCAGCGACTCGAATCAACATGCAGATCGCGACCTGAAGAAGATGGAAGAGACAGAGACATGATTCAGGCTAGTGAAACCAAGGGAGGAAATTTTTTTGATAAAGAACATTGAAGAGGAAGCAAGCATGGCAGCCGCCCGCTAATCCGCCGCCGCCACAGTAAAGTTGAGAAACAACGAGAAAGAAAGGAAAAAGACACCCTAACGCCAATCTAACCAACGTCCCCGATCAAGTACGCTCAAAGACATGACTAGCTAGGTAGTCCTTCCAGGCTTGCCTGGTTTGCTCGGGCTGCATGGCCGCTACGCTTGAAGCGCCAGTGTCTTCAATCCAAAGCGCCTTTACCCGCATCGCCGGCCCCATTGGGTGAGGCCATCGAGAGGGTTTCCTGGCACGCTTGGGGTAAAGAGTAAGCGCAGGGAGAGAAACTTCTCCTCCCAAAGCATATTGAGATGAAACCTTGTCATTTCGTTGCGAGCCTGAGCCCCAGTCGGCGTCCGCAACTTCGTAGCAACTCCGTTACCCTTCAACAGACCCCTTCTTCGACCCTGATTGTCCCATTCGCCCGTCCGTCGTCCGTTGCCCAGAGCGTGCAGCAAATGCACCTCCAATCCAAGACATGCAGGCAAGGAAAAAGGAAAGAAAAAGGGTCTGGGCGCAAGCAGGCACACGGACGCTGTTGGCGTTGGCGATCCCACTCATCTTGACTCTTGACTCGCCTTGACATGCAGCCTGATCCATGCTTTGGGCGAACTATGGTGTGTACTACCGTGACTACCTGAGTCGGTGGAAACTCAGGTTATGGTCTGTAATACCTGTATGCGTGTAAGCCGCTGCCTGAGAAGAGATGGATAGATAGAGTGCATCTTGATACGTATTTGTTTTGAAGTCAATCTGTGCAAATAGACAGGGAGAGAAAGAGAAAGAAAAAAAGACACCTTGAGACATTCAAAATCGGGACGTAGATGCCGTGCCTCACGTGTTGTATTCCGTACCTGGCGCTTGCCTTCTGAATCTTGTCTCAGATGGTGGTGGCTCACTGGTTCTTGCCTCAAAAGATGGGAAAAGAAAACACACGTCTTAGCAGAAGGGGAAAAAAGGAAGTTGCCCCCCATTTTGGCGCATACCATCGACAGCAGCCACAAAATGGCTTTTTATTGCCCATTCCACGTCTTTTGCCTCGTGTCTCTCCAATGGGCGTTGGGGTTTTATTTTCCATGTCTCTCCGTTGTCTCTCGGCCTCTCTCTCTTCCAGTCTCTGATTCTCAATCATCAACGTCTTTCGAGTTTCGACCCCAACAACAATACTACCGTCCCATGCGTACTCCGTACCACGACCTCCCGCTCCAACATCAAACAAACCGCATGTTCCAAGCTCCAACTGCGCACCCACCGGCACAGTCGTCCTTTCACTTTGAGGGGCCCGGTTTGCTGCAGTAGATGTAGTGGCTTCTGCAACCCAAGACCAGCAATTGTCCGAAGGAATGGGCTCCGTTTATCGCCTGGCCCATCCGACTCTTCAGATCGCCCCATCACCCCTCCACTCGTCATATACTTCGGCCGATTCGTGCTGCCAGCCAACGTCAGCCGGGTATAGAGTACTTCTTGCTCCATAGCTATCGCCGCCGCCGCCATCAATAGTATTGATATCACACGCCACCCACACTATCCGTATGCGTACATGCCGCAGGCAACCTCTAGAGAAGAGAGCGGAGGCCCTAGCTTTGTCCCGCCTCAAGATGTCTCCTTCATCCCACCAACAAGCCCACCTCAGCTCAACATTGCCGAACCTGACAGAAGCATACGGACGACCTTTAGTTGAAGACCAAAGGGCGTGGTGCTCTATCCGGCGTTCCTGGCTAACGCATTGCCGTCGCTATCGGCTGCATCTGATCAATTGGTCTCTTTTTGGTCGCTCTCTCACTCGACCCCGCTATCATCCTCGTGTAGCGGGCGGGGAAGCATGGCCATATCGACGTTGCTCACCACCCTCCGCGGCATCGATCGCCTCTGCGCTAGCTCGTGAAAATCAAGACGACGACAACCGTGATGACCGGCCACGAGCCGAGGAACCCTCCAAACCAGATCGGGTTCAAGGCTCAAGCCACCACAGGGGAATGAGAAAAGCAAACACTGCGACAATGAACCATTTCAGCCAACCCGAGAACTGTTTCATTCCACCCGAGCGTGGTCACCGCTGCCGCCTCCGACTCTCCCGCGTGAATGGAAGCCAGAAGTCATGCCCTAGGTACCTAGGCACCTGCAAGCCCACCTCTCTACAGACTACTGACTACAGGTCCACAGGAGAGTCGTTGCTCTTCGACGAACCGAGCGCCCGGCTAGCTGACGATGCAGTGAAGTAGCACTGGCATCTGACGCTATCACACCATTGTCTCAATCCTCCCTTGGACCCGAAGAGTGCAGATTGCACTGCAGCTGCTGCATTCTTATCGAAGCGGGCACCTCAAGCATCCAAGCGTCTTTGAGACGCTTTTGCTGCATTTCGGAGTCGGCCTCTGACCTCGCCTCTGGTCTGCAGTGTTGCACCCACCCGGCCATTGATTCCTTACTCAGCGATGTGACGAATCGACTGCACTTGCTTCGCATGACCTCCTTCGCCGTCGGCTGCCTGCCTCACATGCCGTTATGTGTCGCATGCCTGTTCCACGAACGCAAGAACCAACCAGCCAGCATTGATCTTGTAAGATGCCGATCCAGAAGCAGGTGGGGTCACCCGCGGTTTCGATGCGATCAGCCGTTCATACTCTTCCATCCTCTTCACGCTACGGGTGGAGTAGATGTTCAGAAGTCCTTCGCAAGGCACGCAATAATCAAGAGGCAGAACTGAGGCCACCAGCCGGCTAGTCTAAGTGTGTCCTAGCAGCAAAAATCTGGCGGTCTTGCTGGGCTGTCTTCCGGGGAGAGCGGCCTCAGCAGCACCGGCGACAACCCCCGTGTGATTCCGGATTCTTCTACGGCGAGGCGCCCCAGGGTTCAGTCCGTTTATACGGGCACGCGCGTGGCCAACGCCGATGAAATGCCAACGGGTGATTGATGCGTCAATCAGCACACCACGTTTGTCGCCAATTAAGCCAAAATTCCATGGGTCTTTGTGTCTCTTTGTTCTGCATTAGCGACTTCCTTGGGCTGCTTGTCGCTGGCAGTGGCAAGATTCGTGTTCTCCGTCAAAGAAGCCTAATTGTGTATCAACGAGGCCATGGATTCAAGGTAGCGAACGCGGATACGGACGATCAATTCGTCCCAACCACCTGGAAACTTCGCACATACCCCAGAATGCAAGCAAGGAAGTCCCACCCAAAAGCATAGTCCCACTCGCAGCATACCAATCAGATGCTCCTTGGGGGTCGGCTGTTTTTTTTTTGCTGGGCTTGACTTTTTGTATGTTCATGCCCGCAACGTCGTCTCTGAACCCACCGCAGATGGTTCACTGGTTTCTAACATCACAGTTGATTTGGGAAACCTAGCCGCGGCCACGACTGCGCAATTGACACGTATGCTGGCAGCCTATGTTTGTGCCCGAAGAGCAGCTTCAACTAAGCTCTCGTCAACAAAACGATGTGTCACGTAAACCCACCGGTTTCGCAGTCGCCTCTGGTAACCGGTGCGGTCAAATTGGTGGCTCCGTGTTGTTTCCTATTTCAGAGCAGGAGAATTCCCGAGTGTCAACAGAAATTCGATGTTCGAGACTCATCTCGCGCGTGTTGTCTCTGCCATATCTGGGAAGCCTTGGCCGTGGTTACCGTTTTGGCCTGACCGCCAGCCTCTAGGAGGCTTAAAATAGCAGGATTGACTTTGGATTTTACTCCGGATGGGAAATGAGAGTCCCCGCTCGTCCAGACGAAGCCCGAGATGGATGGAGCGGAGAGAGAAACTTCCAGGTCAAGGTGCCACTTGGAGAACCAAGCCCCATCAATCTTCAGACGACCCGCTCGAGCTCGGTGAGCACTGGGCAGGGGTTTCGGTTTGTTTTCTTTCATTCCTCCACTATTTGACTCACTGAAGAATGTTCGCAGTCAGGGAAGATGCGGGAAACCGCACGACGATGGAGACAGTACGGCGTACAGACAGGCCAGGCCTTTCTTCTCGTCTGGACTCGTCGCGTCGGCTACTCACCAGAATTGTGGCCAACTCCGACTCTTTGTTCAGGGGCGACGGTTGGGGTCGTGGGCCAAGACGCAGGGCGAGCGCCGGGCCCCATATGAGGTTTCGAGCGCAGATGAGCCGTGTGCAGAATTAACAAGTTGTCGGGGCTCCGATTCGAAATGGTACGCTGTGCATCTCCTGCGTCGTCCTCGCAGGGCAAGGCGAGTCCGGGCGGCCGCAGCCGGGGGAAAGTGTCTGTGCAACTGGCGCGGCCATTCATTCTACGAATAGTCGAATACTCAAGAGAAGTTCAAGTCGGATTCACCGGGTGCCAAGGACGGTTACCAAACGTTCATTCAATGAATAATCTGGGATGGTGAGCCTAGGAGGGGTCGGGGACGTCCCACAAATGCCGACCTCGCCTCGTGCGTTGTGGGGGGCAATTGATGAGCAGAAAAGGAGACTGGATGGATTCTCTATCAACTCGGAGGCATTTAGTCTGAGGCATGTGGACTCTGGACCGTTGCTACAACCTTTTCCCCGACAGTTGCAGAGTCCAGAGACCAGAGAGTCCAATGAGCGGTCGATCATTTGGTGGGAAAAGCTGAGAAAAGAGACGATACACCAACGTTCAGAGAACTCCAAGTGGAGCAAACGGCCAGGAGCGGCGGCGGCGCCCAAGCTTTGCCGGCGATCGTCACAGGTTCAGATTCACGGTTGTACGGGAACCGGGGCCACCGCGAGCCCTGCACTTTTCTCACCCGTCCACTAGGCCTTGCCTGCCCTGACCCCGTCGGCCCAATGAAGTTTGCAAGGAGAAAAACTGCAGGGAGAAGAGTTGAGCTGGTTTTCAGCTTGTTCTGTCCAAAGTCCAGGGTCCCTGCCTGTGCCGGGCAGTGCCAGGTGCCATGAGGTCATCAAAATCCCTGCTCTCCTTAATCTCTCCGCAACAGGTTCTTCCTGGTTCCCAAGCGGATTGAAACTCTTTTCTCAGTCCTTGTTCACCCTTTTCATTGCGACTGGCAGCAAATGTAAGTCCTCACAGTAGGTAGCCATCAGTGGACGATGGTCGGACACACTTGTATGGAGTAGCGCACAGAGATATCAGCAAAGGTATCGCTGACAAACAGTTGGACGTTATGAATGTTGTAAAAAAAAAAAATTCCTTCTTCTTGCGCCGAAAATTGTTCCAGAATAAGGTAATTAGAACCCAAACAACCAAACTAACGCGCCCGCCAGCCAAAAGTTTGTTGCACTACAGATATCGTACACACCAATAACGGCCCAATGAAACGCACTTCATTCGCTCCCGTAGTAAAAAAGTTCATGGTCCTCGTGGTCCTCATGGTCGAAGCAATAAAAGATCGTGCCCCGACTAAGCTTTAAGCTTCAGTCTAAATCTCATTCTTTTTATGAGGCTGAAGATTTTTTTCATTACAGCTGCTTCTTCAGCCCGCCAAAGGAGCCGATGCCGTCTGCGACGTCGGCTGCTTGCTTGTTTCCCTTGAGTTGGTCTGGCGCAGTAGTCGTTATTAGCGGGAGATTCATCAAACAGTCTTTCTTGTAAGGCGAAGAGACTCACCATCGACGAAATCTTGTCCTGCCTTCATGCCCTGGGCCTGCATCTTCTTCTTTTCGGCTTCCGCTTTGGCCTTGAACATCATGATGCTTGTGCGAGTGTCAGCTTGAGTCCAGAGATCTTGGGGGCTTACAGACAGCTGCCGCCGTCATGATCCGGGTGAATTGTTACTTACCCGACTTGCTCGATGATGGGGTCGAGCATGCCTTGCCGGTAGGCGAAGGTGCCTCCGACGAGGACGGCCAGGACGATGGCCAGGGAGATGATGAGGGAGTTGGTGGTTGAGGTCTCCATTGTGAGTTAGGTCTTTTGATGGTGGTGATGTGTACGGTGAATGTGATGTGAGTTATGAGAGGAGTAGGAGGATGATGTTGCGCAAGCCGTTTATTGGATAGGTTACAAGTGTAAAGATGTTGTTCTTCTAGCTGTCTTCTTTCATTTCATTTCACGACCCCTTTACCACTCATTTATATCTTTAATCTTCAACCAGCTCAATTCAAAAAAAAAAAACTTGATCTGGCGCATGGCTTCCCTCTCACATGCAGGTTTGTGTGTGTGTGTGCGTGTGTAGCACCTGCTTTCCTCTTGCGCGTGGGATTGAATGTGAGCGAGGAGAAGGATCGGCAATGACGTCTCCTCATACCCATTTTCATGCCGGCCTGCCTTGCGTGGGGTTGGCTACGCCGCAATCGCGTGGAGGGGTCCCAGGAAGATCAGGGTCTCTGGGTCGCAGGCTTGCGTCAGAGGCAGGATGTGAAGACATCATTATTCTTTTTTCTTTCTCGAATAGAATCGGTCAAGGTAATAAACAATTGAATAATGGAGACTTGATTGTTGGTTTTGGAGAGGTCTTTACGCGGCCTTTTTTTGGTGTCTCCTCTTCTCTTGCGGGTGGGTTTTTCTCATGCAGGTTGCCGGCTGGCTAGATTGGATGGTGTTACTGGTCAGTGATTGAGTGTATCCGTACTTCCAACGGGAGCCGAGACTACACTTCCCCGCAACCTCTTTCTAAACTACGTTATCCAGGCAAGGCAAGGCAGAGAGCTCTTTTCGGGTCCGAGGTCGTGCGACGGGGTAGGCTTCCGCCATTATGACTTCAGTGCTGAGGCGGCCAAGATTTACATGTCGTTGTACGAGTTGGCTCAGCTCAGAACCTTGGGCAGCCTGGGTGGAGGCGGGGGGAGGCTGGTTCGGTTCCCCAGGCCTGGACTGGACACTTGGCATGGCGAGGTTTGGTTATCGATCTCATTGTGCATGATATTTGAGGATTCATGCTATTTTCGTTTCTAGATGATGTCCCGAGGTGCTCGGGGGTGGTTATTGTCCTCTGGCGGTCTTTTTGCTTGTTGCCGTTGATGATTTTTCTTCGAGTTCGTGAGCTCGGCAGTTGCTAGTGTGTGAGGTCTCAACTCGGAGGAGTTTGTTAAAGTGGTTGCAGTTGCAGGGGGCTGCGTTATAGAGTGCTAGGTCGTGTTATATATCCGTACCGAACTGTTGCTGTTACGCCGCCGCAGTGGCCATGTTCGGGAATTTGTCTAATGCACCCCCTTTGGCTTGGGGATTAGATAAGGCTGAGATTAGATGGGAATGCCATGATAGCATCCGTCCCCCAATGTTGGCGTCTACTCCTTTCTGGCCAATAGACCTGGGAAGACTCGATATTGACCTCATACGCATCTCAGCGTGTACCCTCTGAGCCTTGTTCCACGGGATTCTGACTATGAATATAAAAATAAGTTCCTTACAGACTCCTGACTTTGGATCCTATAGAGCCGCCCACAAATACGAATATGTTGTACTTATGGGCGCTGGGGTAGTCCAGCATCCTCGGGGGATCCTTCATGACACGAGTTTATCGCTGGATATTTGAGCAATGAACGATTATCTTCCACCCGTTGTGAGTCTGAAGGTATTTTGGTAGGCCATGGCCCAACCTGTGGTTAAGTGATACTGGTCTAATCACAGCTATCGTTCAATCAGATCGTATTACGTCTTCCAAGGGCGAGAGAGTGAAATGGTTGGACCAAGTCACCGGCTTGAAGATATGTTGAACGACAAAGCGTTACCCCTCTGCCATCCTTGTAACTAGGCCGGTCTCGTTCTGTGACTGTGTTCCATCTTTCTAGCTGTGGTAAGTAGTGGATTGGATGATGTTGCAGTTTATACCTTGTTATTGTGCTTGTTGCATGATGGCAAACCACATCAAGCTTATTCTCTCTGTTATTGTATGGACGGAGAGCTCTGAGCAGTGGGACGAACTACTTCCTCAATTGGGTAGTGTCTACAGATCAAGAGTTCGGTAAATCCATTTTGCTCTTACATCTCGCTCACCAGGGCATCTCATTACCAGGCTGTTTTCTTCACAACCAAGTCGTCCCGCGCAATGCGTTTTGGCGTCGAGACTCCTCACAAGACCGAACCCACCAGAGAAGCTCGCCTTCTCGCATGAGCTCCAGGCTCGTGGATCCTACCGCGTAGTAGCTTCGACTACGAACTGGCAACCTCCTTCTTGGCCGTGACCTCAATCTCAATCATCATCACGTCCTCCATCAACGCCGCCTGGATCATGGTCGCCGCAGGGCGGACCTCGCCAAAGTACTTTTGGAGCACCGGCCAGGTCTTTTGAAAGTCGTTGCGGTCGGGGAGGATGTAGCGGACGCGCACCACGTCCTTGATCTCGGCACCGGCCTCGGCGAGGGCGGCGGCGATGTTCTCCATCGTCTGCTTCGTCTGCTCGACAATGTTGGGGGATATGACGCCTGTTGCGTAGTTGTAGCTGTACCGTCGGAAGAATCAGCATATAGACCCCATTTGAATATGGTCGTTTGTCAAACATGATATGAATGGGTGGGCGGGGTGGAAGGTGGTGGGAGACACGGACCCCGTGGTTCCAGACACAAAGATGAGATCGCCCGAGACCACCGCACGGGAGTAGCCGATTTGTGCCTCAAAGGCAGAACCTGAGCTGATGTTTCTTCGGGACATGATGGGCTGAAAGACGGGCTGAAAGTGATTGAGTCGACTGATGTGAGTTGGTGTGGTTGTTCGGTATAGTTGTGGAAGGGAAAGGAAAGAGGATGTGGTGGATATGATATAAGAGGAAAGAGGTTGAGTCACTCGCAATATCTCAGATATCCCCACATGCCAGTCTCGAGATTTCTACGAGAAAGAAGGATTAGGCTAATTAGAATCTTGTGCACAAGCCCGTTATGGCCGTATTGGGACATGGGATGGGGATGTAAATGACCGTTGAACATGGTATCTCTGGGCACAAAACCGCCCAACTTCAAAAGGACGCGAACACGAATAGGACTGTATGAGACGCAACATGTTTCGAGGCTCGACATACACGGTCCTTGAGGCGTTTGAATTGCGCGAAAGGTCATTGGAGTACGAAGCTGGTATTGTTCGTACGTGCGATGAGTCAAGCGGCCATTTTGGGACTGCCTCTTTTCGGATAGATCACTGGGCGGGTCTCTTGACGATAACGTACACAGGTGAAGCCATTCACCGAGCTTACCTGAGTAGGACTGCATCCACAAAACGCACGTGGTGAGGACGGCTTCCCCATCTTCCTCTTCCATACTTAAAATCTTAAGGATTCTGGCGTCTTGAGTAACAGTCAGCGTCTGAGAAAAAAAAGTCTAAAAAGTCCAAAGATGATGGGATGATCGGGGAGAGATGATTTCAGCTGAAGATTAGATGACTTGCAACACGCCTCACTTGTTAAAGCAAGTAGGTCCTACAGAGCGCCTTACCCATATGAGAATCGTTGCAGACCTCGACGCCCGATGGTCCCTTAGGGCGGTATAAAGGAAAGCACCTTCCTACCTTACTACAGGATTGTAACCTAAGGTACAAGCGGGTCACGGCCTGCCTACCTTCCCTCGAGTTGGCCATCATACATGGTCGTGACTGCCGTCCCCGACAGAAACCTGTGACATTCATATGGCTCCTTCTAAAAGAGAATTGAGAGGCAGGTACGGCGGAAGGAGGCTTCAAACGCACTTCACCTCCGCATATATTCCCGATGTGGTCTTCCAAGTCTCTCCCACAACTTCAACCTTAAGAGACCTTTTTACGATCTTTGTTCTCACGCTCTCTGCACTCCCCTTACCGATCAACACCGAGAGCAACTTTCCTGATTGCTATACGTTCGAGAGAGTCTATTTTAGCAACCAGCAGAAGACATTGAAGAGTACTCGTCGTTCAACAACCACAATGTCCGCCCCTCTTTCTTCGGAGCTGTCGTCTCCTTCTTCCTTGATCCAAGAATCTACTGTCTACTCCGACTATGGTCCAGACGAGGAGTTGAAGACCCAGAGTCAAGACCACGTCAAGTCTACAACCAAATCTGCGTCCAAGAAGTCTCCGTTTCTCAAGTATCCGGCCGACATCCAGCGTCTCATCCGACGTGGCCTTTGCACCTATGGCATCAACACGGGCCCAGTACCCGATGACACAGACTGGGCCAAGCTCACTGTTGCCATGCTCAGGGAGCAGCTCGTCATGCGTGAGATGCCAGACGATGGGAAGAAGGGTGTTCTCGTTGAGAGGCTCGAGAACTTGAAGACGTATAAGCCTGAGGTCGTTGCTAGCAGAGACGCCCCTGACGACAAGCCATTCGGCCCTATCTCCAGGAATACCGGCAGCAAAGGCGAGAAGCGCTTCTTTGTGGACATGAGTGACAAGGGCCACGTTGGTTCTGTCAAGAAAGCAATGAAGGAAGACATGTTCGTGATCAAGCAGTTCAACGATCTCGATAGTGAAGTCAGCTTCAGCCTTCGCGGGACCGGTCCCGATACATACGATGTCACCATCGGAACCAAAACCTCGTGTACCTGCTCGAGCATCGTAGGTAACACCAATGCCTCATTCAAGCAAATTTTAACCTCGACTAGATGTTCCGACCCCGGAGTAATTGCAAACACATAATCTGTCAGCTGGAACTCTACCGCCCTTTCTAAGACGCGATTACTAACGAAGTTTAGATATCATGACGCATGCTTTCCGGGCGCCTGCTGAGCTCCTCCCACAACGGACATTGTTCGCCGAGGAGATCAAGAAGCTCGTTGACCGCGCCCCCAAAGTCCGCTTCACCGCGGCGGAGGCCAGCCAATACTTCTCTCTGTCGGGTGGTGTTCCGAAGTCCAAGGACGGCAAGTCCTGTCCTGTCTGCTTCAAGGATATTGGTGAGGCAGAGACGGTGTGCTGCGGTAAGTGTGGCAACCACACACATTCTTCTTGCTTCGACGTGTACACGCGCCAGCAAACAGGATGGACCCTCACGTGCGCTGTCTGTCAGGTTGACTGGTCGAACACGGTTATCTGAGAGCAAGATGGCAGTTCTTCAACAAGAGGTTTGGAGGGGTGTTGATACTAAGAGACATGACTATTGAAGGCGTGTGGCTGGCTTTGAAATGCCATTTGGCAGAAGGCTTGACAACGCAGCCGGCTCAACAATTATTTGCGTTTGAGGGAGGGGGGGGGGGTGGTATCTGCTGCGGAGTACTGTGGGAAGACTTATGGGCTTGAAATATCAATGAATACGCATCTCAGATGTATTATATCATCACTATCAAGAATCGAGCGCATAAATGGTAAATGCAAGTTACCTGCAGTGTTAATTGCCTCGTCTCCTTGATGTAAATTGTTTCACCCGAGCTTTGTCAAGCTTCAATAACGCTTGCATTTGATTTGTTACCTCATCTTCACCACATCGTTGCTAGGTTGTCGCACTTCTCATATACGTTCTTGGTCTCTTTTGCTGTTAAGGAGGCGGTAATTGTCCGAAGGCCTGGTTGACACTATCCTGCTACGCATCCAAGAAGAGTGACATACCGTCTTTGCAGATTGACCGTGCTGCGACAACTTGCACGTCACTTGATCGCCCTCTGCTTGACCAGCTTCCCTGCACGCTGAACGATGGTCCGCCTACTCTTCATCCAAACTTACATCGTACTTCTCAAATAGGCTCCTGAAAGCCCGTTCTTCTCATATCCATTCATCTTTATGATGAATGAAAAAACATCATCATCAAAACTGTTTCTTAGTCCTGCTTTCAGAAGCATCTCAGTAATTTCCTCATTCTCTTGAAAAATGGACTGATGTAGTAGGCTTCTACCAAATAAGTCACTGCCTGTCAAGCTAGCGCCGTGCTTGATCAGGATTTCAGCAATACCGACATGATTCTTCTTGACGGCCGAAGCCAGATAATGGTCTATTTCGGCCCCGGCCTGTTCGAGGAGCCATTGGACAACTGCTTCTTGCCCATTATCGACCGCGCATTACAGTGGTGTTCGACCGAGCGAGCCTGGAGTGTTCCCAGCAGTGGCATTATTCTTGCACAACAATTGTACAACATCGAGTATCCCATCCCAAGCAGCTTGATGCAAAGCTAGCATCATGTGCCGGTCCCTGGCCATGACGTCGGCACCATTGTCAACCAGCCATGCTGCTGTCTTCCACTTTCCCGAAATCGCTGCGAGATGCAAAGCCGTTCTTCCTTCCCTGTCTCGCAGCGTTTTGTTTGCGGTATTCCACAGATATTTAACGGTGGCTTGTTTTCCATAGAATGCTGCCCGGTGAAGGGCTGTTTTCCCTGAGGCGTCAAGAACGTTGATGTCTGCACCCGCCTCTGTCAACAACTTGACTGCTTCCAGAAACCCTGTGATTGCGGCACAGTGTATGGGCGCAACTCCATCTCTGCCTTGCGCGTTGATGTCTGCGCCCGCTCCCAAGAGCGATTGGATAGACTCATAGGCCGATGTATCGATGGTTACGTAGGGCTCTTCGTTTTCACCATCAACCTATTCATCCATTATTTTCTCAGATTTGCAAGCATAGTGCAATGGCGTCCATTCAACCAAGTCTCGCGCGTTGATGTCTGCCCCCCCACGCCATGGAAAGGCCCCAACGATGTCTCGACGCGCACCGTAATGCAGGGGTGTCCAACCAAAAAACATCCTTTGCATTAAAATCTTCCGCACATCGTATTGCTTCGTCGACGTGCGCAAGATCTTGATAATGAGCTGCTTGGTGCAAGCTCGTGCAGTGAAACTTTTCGTCAAACGCATAATCCCTTCTGATGCGACCGCCTGTTACATAATCCCTTTCGCTGCGATCGCTTGTAAAGTCTTGAGAGATATTGCACTTCCATGGAGGCTTCTGACCCTCACACATTCTTACAAGGGCTGCGAGCATTGGTTTAAATTCTGGCGGCCCATGGATGAAGTTGGAACGAAGCTCGATCTCAAGGCGATCTCTGACATCTAACATCCCCTCGTGTTCATACGAAGGCCGCACGTCAAGCTCATGTAATTGTTTTTCGAACAAATCCGAGGCCAAGCAGACTTGTCTCAGGAAATCCACAATTATGGCTGTTGACTGAGTGTAGAGCTCGTTTTCAAGCGGGAACGTCCTGGAGACGCGGAATAGCCAGACGTAGATATCTTCCGCCTGGTTCCAGTGCTGCAGCTTCTCGTGATGTCGGGTCTTCTCTCTTGCTAAATCGATGATAACGGAAGCCACGGGAAGCTTGTTTTCCACGCTAAGCGCTGGTATCATGCTCAAATAAACGTCACTAAGGCTGCCGAGTCCGGTGCTCTCAATGTTTCTTGCCAGCTTCAAGAGCTGGTCATTGCGGAGGGTAAAAGACTTCCAGCTTGTATCGGCTGCCGCTTCACGTTTTGAACGTGTTTTCACGGGTCCTTCGAGCGGCTTTTCAAGGGTCATTGCTGCGGCCTTGAAAAAGCATGAGAATATGTCCTGCGCATATAGCGACTTCAGGGGCCCGTGGAACTCGGCGGCTAAGAAGTCATGGATGGATTTATCATCCTCTGTCGCGATGGGGGCCTTCGGTGTTTCTTCGTCGCCTCCGCTCCCGCTCCAGCTCTCGTTTTCGTTACTTCCATTCTCGTCATCTTCTGTTCGGATTTTTTTCGATCGTGAACTCGGGCAGTTCTTCTACACCATATTGCCGACGATCGATGTAAGGCCCACCAGGCCCGACGACTCTGTGGTTTTCCTTGCTTAATTCATCATTCGAAATGCCATCTTTCGGGGAAGTTGTCAATGTTGAATATCTCATGATCCTGGTTGACTCGATGGGCATCCACCACGAGAGATCTCTGTGCAAACTCTCCGTGTATGGGCCTAGGACGCGCAAACCAGGTCTCGCGGGTGATCCTTTGACGCGCAACCATTCATCGTCTTTTTCATCTCCTATAATATCCTGGTGATTTATTTCTTCGTTCTTCTCAAGCTCATCAACTGAGAAAAGCCACATCGATAAGGCTGCTTGCTTCAAGCTCATCTGCAGGAGCGTTCCATTTCCCTTCTCGTCTGTTCAAGCGAAAATGTATGAGCTCTCCTCCTTGGACTGCGAGAGACCAGGTGTAATCATTCTGCTCTGAGTTCCAAAAGAGAAGATTCATTGTGGCTTCAATGGATCGTGCAAGAGAGACAGCTTCCGTGGACGCCGGCCCCTGCCAGTTTGCCAGCTGCGCTAGGTCTCTCCTGATCATGACAACACGATGGGCAGTCGAAACTGTCGAAACTGTCAAACCTTTTTGCGGAGCACCTTCCTCGAATGCTTCGATGTGTGCTTGCAAACACCGAATGCTCCATGCTTGAGTCTCTAACTTGGCGTCAGGTATCCACGGGCTTTTCGTGATATCCGCGAATGTCGTCGCAAACCAATCGAGTTCGAAACCTGACGGAGTTTGGAAAGATCTTGGCGGACTTGCGAGACCTCGCCGAATCCACGCCCTTAACCCCGTCATCAAGAGAATGGCGCCAAGCTGTGCAATCGATACTGACCAATGTAGCCCACGCAGGCCAATGAATTGCACGATATACCCACACAGACTGACGGCCATTCCAATGCTCGTTTCCAGCTCTAGGGAGACTCCAGGCTTTTCGTCTCGGGTAGTAAACGTTGACATAGCTTCCTGAGTCGATGGAGACCCCGAGGAGATCAGGCTGTACACATCCGAAAAGGGAGTTCATTTACAACAGCTTAATGCACGCACCTACAGGCAATATTGCATTAGGTCCAACGTCATCGGACCCTTTGCTTGGCGTTGACACGTATTATACAGGGGTAAATACTGTGGGAGATATATCGAGCACCGCCTTACGCTCGAGCAACCAGCGGTAAGGTAGAAAATAAACATAAATACAGGGGGTAATTCTCGTGGGTGGCCTGCACGACTGGTGGCTAATCGATGCGCACACAGCCGGCCAACTACGTATGATAGGACGAACTGCACGCTTTTTCTGCTGTGTAACTACACGGCAGGATAAATGGATTTCCGTTCAACTGCGGCGGGGCTTGGTAATTGGTTGGTCCACGCAAGCGCCAACCCAGCCTTGCCTGCCCATATACAGCCTGCATTAGACGTAAGAGGCGACAAGGGCGCCAGCGCCGAACATGGAAGCAACTGTGATGAAGCTGGCAGTTGAGAAGAGTGAAATGCCGCTGAGTCCGTGTCCAGAAGTGCAACCTCCACCAATTCTAGATCCCAGACCAATGAGGAAACCTCCTACTGCCGCCAGCTGTGGCGAGATAGCCGTATCAGCAGCACCAAGAGCGAACTCGGGGTATACTGTCGCAACAGCCCACGCGCCGGCAGCCAAGCTCGCAGAGAAGAGAATGTTGCTATACGACGGTTTCCCCTTTTCGCCACCGCCCTGAACCGCCCACCAGAAGTACCGTCCAATCTCGTCGTAGGAAGTCGACACGCCGAGCATCGACTTGCGAGAGAGCAGCGAGAAGAGCTGCGCCAGACCAATCAGGAGTCCGCCGATGGTGGGAGCGACGACGGCGTAGGGGCTGGCGGGAGTATACTTCATGCTGGCGTAGATGACGCCCGCGAAAAGGGCCTCCACGCCGACGAAGGCGACGGCTCTGCTCAAACCGGCCCGCTCGTGGACGGTGAGCTTGGGGTTCTCGGGCGGTGCCGAGCTGGCGTTGCTGGTGAGGAGTTTCTGGAGGAAGCCGGTCCACATGATGCCCGCGAGGACGGCGCCGCCGAGAACGTAGACGCCGGATTTGGTGCCGACGGCGATCTGGGCGAGGACGGTGCCGGGGCAGGAGCCGGAGAGGGCCATGCCGGCGCCGAGGATGGACCCGCCGAGGATGTTGCCGTCGTACTCGGAGAAGATGCCTAGACGCGAGGGGCTGCGGGGTTTGGGTCGGACGTAGCCCGCCTGGTCCAGCACGAGGACGAAGACGCTGTGTTCGTGTCAGTTTGTGGTGAAGAGGACCAAAAGGGAGCAGCAGTGAGTGCTGAGACGATTGGACGTACGTGCTGCTTGCTGCGGCTGCGAGGAAGGCCTGGATCATGTGCCAGTTCTCGAACTTGAGCTGAGCGATGATGACGGAGGGCTGGTAGACGCCCGCCGCTACCAGGGCGGCGCCGAATGCGGCGCCGGATAGGGCTGTTGTTGCCATGGCTTGGTGGGCTGTAGATATGCGTGTAAGAGTAAGAGAGGAAGTATGAGAGAGTGTTTGTCCGCAGGGGGGCGTTCTGGGACGAACTGCTGCAGGCCGGTAGTTTGGATTGTGTGCTGTATATATGAGAGGTTTTTCTCTTCTATGAGTGGTTATGCGAGAAGGTGGTGATGTGTGAGAGGAGTTTAAAATCGTCAAACTCTTCGAGCTGTCTCGGGACGAACTTATACAGGCTAAAGCTAAAACTGCTTAAACCTCTGGAAAGAGTATCGAATTTGCCAAGTTCTCGGGTCTGCTTAGTGAATCAAGCCCGAAAGCCCCAGATCCGTTCGGGGACTTGAAGATAGAGAGGGAAAAATGGACCGGGTAGCGGGGCCCTTGGTTAATAATCTCGCCCCCATTGTCAAAGGCCGAAGAGTGAAGAGGGCCAACCCCTGTAGGAGGGAACGTCCTCAATCTGCTAGGAAACCCATCCCGTATTCTGCGGCCGAGCCGGCCGTCCGGGTTGACTTTTGTCAAAGGCAGTTTAGGGTGTAAGTGCCGGATAAGTGGTGGCGTTCGTTGTTAGGACTTGTTCCCTTTTCGGATAGCAATGACGCCTTTTGGAAGCTAACTAACGACATGGCGCTAGCTTATTCCGAGCCCTTTGGCATTATGTATCCGAAGTTTTCTTTGTTGCGTGAGAGTAGTTGCTTCCTTTGAAAGAGTATGGGAGTTTACTTTGCACGCATTTCAAATTCTCAATGGGATATAGATGCAATTCAGGAACAGGTGATGCATGTGGTGCGTGCGCCGTTGTGGAAGGTCGGCAGTTTGGGACATTGAAGTCCGTCAGCAAACGATTGATTGGGTAGAGCAAGGTGTCTGAAGAAGGGGGGATCAATAAGGTTGCAGGAGAATCAATTGAATCCCGCCCCGGGATGGTCCTGGATCTGCCCCAGCCCGCCAGGATTGTTCTCTCTCCCAAGCCAAAGGACTTGAAGGAGGACGGCGACCACTTTGAAGAAACGGTCGCCGACGTCGGGGAACTGCCGGAACGCATGGGCATCACCGAGAGTGGATACCCCTTCTTCACCGGGATAGTTTGAACCTCTCGGGGGCTTCCGTAAGCCTATGCTTCTTTCGGTGACTACTATCGTGACCGAGGGACTTCATGCTCTCTAGATTATGGGTTCATGGACGGCGAGGCTTAGATGAGATGTTTTCAGACTTTAGATATAAGGGTTGAGAGGGTGACCATGATGTTAAATCATTCATTTTTGGATTGCATTACTAGCAAAACCACCAGAACCAGTCGATGAACAGAGTCAACCAGTTGCGAGAACATATACTCAACGCCTCACTTACACACCCAAACATGGCTCAAGAACCCACAATCCACGAGATCTTTGAGCCGGTGACAGGCACATGGCAGTACATCGTTGCCGACCCCTCAACCAAAGCCGCCGTAATCATCGACTCTGTCTTGGATTTCGATCCGGCAAAGAACGCCATCTCTATACAAACAGCCGACGGCCTTCTTGATGTGGTAAAAAAGAATGGCTACCAAGTTGTCAATATCCTAGAGACACACGTCCACGCCGACCACTTGACGGCATCCAAATATCTGCAGTCCCGGCTGCGGGAGGCTCAGGATGGCGCGGCCCCCGATATCTGCATTGGCAGGCGGATCGGAGTCGTACAAGAGAGGGTCGCTGAGAAATATGGCATCTCCAAAGACGAGTACGCCAATGCCTTCGACCGGCTACTTGACGACGACGAGATCTTCGAGATTGGAGAGCTCAAGGCCAAGGCTATCCATCTGCCGGGTCATACGCCCGACCACATGGGTTACATGATCGAAGGTGAGCACTTCCCCACAGACAGTCACGAAGAAATATCAGCCCCATACTAACCACAACTTCCAATAGCCAACGTCTTTGCGGGCGACTCCCTCTTCAACCACGACGTCGGGTCCGCACGATGCGACTTCCCCGGCGGCAACGCCCGCGACCTCTTCGCGTCGGTGCGCCGGCTGCTCGATCTCCCAGAGACCACCAAGATCTGGACGGGCCACGATTACCCGCCGGCCCACCGCGGGCCCCTGGCGGCGACGGAGGTCGCGAGGCAAAAGATGGAGAACAAGCACCTCGCGCAGAACGTGACGGAGGAGGACTTTGTCAAGTGGCGCGAGGAGAGGGATTCGGGGCTCGGCGAGCCTAGGCTCATGCACTGGGCGCTGCAGGTTAACGTGAGGGCTGGGAATATGCCGAGTCCGACCAAGGCTGGGGATCGCTTGTTGCATGTGCCTGTCAAGATGCAGGGTGTGACTTGGTGAAGGGGGATTTCATGTCGTGTAGTGTGAGCGTGGAAAGGAGCTTAGTTGATTCCCGTGTATAAGAGATAAGGGATGTGGAAGCGTCTTCTGTATAGTTAGTTACCTCTGGCCACGAACATGAATGAAATCCAGGGAAGCCTTCTTCGACAGCCAGCGCTCTACTTTCGCATGCGCACGTGAAGTTATCACGAAGATCGAAATGGGTAGAGCACATGTATGTGCTGGTGTTTTGGCGGTGTTATGTTGATTGGCCCATGCGTTGCAGCCCCCCCCCCCCCCCCCCCCCTCCCCGGCCACCGCCGTGTGGGGAAAGTGCCGAGGTCTCGTCACTGAATGCGGGGAGTTCGGCCCCGGCTGAGTGGAGGGAGGCCGGGGGACGTCTATTCCCGCCACCAAATCACAACGTCAACAGCGGCAACAATCCGGTATCTCATATTATTAATCTCGTTCGGCTCAATATTTTCCTGTTCACATAAGAGCTGGCGTAGCCCTCATTCGATTGACTTTGTAACATCAAACTGGTTCTCTATTGAACTAGTGACGACACCATCTTTTCCAAAGTATTGACAATGCCTCATTCCATCACCGTTAAAAAGATCGAGGGGAAGCCCGGAAAGGTGTACTATCCGTGAGAAACCACCCTCCTCGGGTCATAGCAATATCGTAATTAATTCAAAGCTCAGTCTCCAACTCAATGAAATTCCAAAGCCGACCCCTGGGCCCAAAGATGTCTTGGTGCGATTAAAGGCCGCCGCCCTCAACCACCGTGATCTCTTCATCCGGCGCCACCTGTACCCAGGCATCTCATTTGACCACCCGCTCATGGCAGACGGATACGGCATCGTAGTCGAAGTCGGAAAGGACGCAGACAGAAGCCTCCTCAACAAGCCCGTCCTCATCACACCCAGCCGCGGCTGGGCCTCGAGCCCGGACGGGCCGGAAGACATTCGCAAATTCAGCGTCATCGGCGCCACTCAGACGTACCCGGACGGCACCGCGCAAGACTTCCTCGCCCTCCCCCAGGACGAGGTCGAGCTGGCCCCGGAGCACCTCACCCCGGCCGAAGGTGCCGCCCTACCCCTCGTCGGGCTCACGGGCTGGCGCGCGCTCGTGACGAAGAGCGGAAACGCGGAGAAGGGCAGGAACATCCTCGTCACGGGCATCGGGGGCGGTGTGGCGCTTCAGGTCCTCCAGTTCGCCGTCGCCTTTGGCTGCAACGTCTACGTCACCTCTGGCGACGAGGCCAAGATTGAAAAGGCCAAGAGCATGGGCGCCGCCGGGGGCGTGAACTACAAGACCAAGGGGTGGGAGAAGGAGCTGCAGGCCCAGCTGCCCAAGTCGCGGCCGTACCTCGACGCCGTGGTCGACGGTGCCGGCGGAGACCTCGTGGGAAAGGCGGTCAAGGTGCTCAAGCCTGGCGGTGTCATTAGCCAGTACGGCATGACGGTGTCGCCGCAGATGGACTGGCTGATGCAGGCTGTCCTCAAGAACGTGGAGCTCAAGGGTACGACTATGGGATCGCGCGAGGAGTTTAGGGACATGGTTGCCTTTGTGAGGGAGAAGAAGATTAGGCCTGTGGTGAGCCGGACGGTCAAGGGACTGACGAACCTCGAGGGTATTGATGGGCTGTTCAAGGATATGGAGGCGGGGAAGCAGTTTGGCAAACTCGTTGTTGAGTTTGAGGAGCCCTCTGCGTCGCCTAAGCTGTAGACTTTGTGTTGCCATGTACGACGTAGTATATGTAGAGTATCCTTGATAGTTACGAGGATTTATTTGAGTTCAATCAAAACCTGGCAAGGAATGGAAGTGCTCTTACTTGGGCTTCCTTGGTATCGAATGCTTCCATTTGGTTGACCGCTATCTCTGAAATTTTCCAATCACGTCCATACGGTAGAGGTGAAGGTAATTGAGCAAGCCAATGACATCCTCCAGCATGTCGACTAGCTGTGTAGGTAGCCTCAAGAACATCGCTCTCTTCTGCAGGACCTATGGTCTTGAGAGACATTCAACACTGGTTGCTGTCTATGGGCTTTCTATCGAGATATGTTTGGGCCTTCTTATTGTCTTTCAAGAGATGTCGCACAAACACAAGCAATGCCGTAGGCTCTTTTGGAGGACTTTCAGTCTTTGTTTGGGTCGGACCTTCCCCATTCAGCTCCTCAAGTCTATTCTGCTATCTGAATCTAGGCATAGGCTTCACCTGGAATTTGGTCCACCCAAGTGTAAGTCAGTGAATATACACACGTGATGGGTGCTCTTGAAAATGATGAACGTTCATCTTGAGCCCTGACCACTGGCTTCTTTCAGTTTCCCCTTCCCTCTTTCCTCATTCTGGACGAAGGGTCCTGCCTGGAGATAATTGTCTCTGTTCGCCGAGCTTCTTCTTTTCACCTACAACAGACAAGAGGAGATTCTCCCCTCTCTCACCCATCTCAATCTCACAAACAAATCAAATCCCGATAATCATATCACTAGCACACTATACGCAGACCTCACCCTCACGATGTGGCACAAAGCCATGTTCGTTGTCATGGCGGTGGCCTTGATGCTCTCTGCGAGCGTCAATGTCGTCGCTGCTACAGGCTCCATTGCAGACCTCAACACAGTTGGGGTTTCCACTGAGGACACTTTCAGCAACGGTCTCTCCAAACGCAACTTTGCCCTTGGTCCTCATCTTGCTCCCAGGGACTTCCCTCACGACAACCCCCTTAACATCACCGAAGAGGAGGCCCTCAAGCATGGCCACAAGATCATCCCCGTCAACAAAGAGATGTGGGCTCACCTCATCAAGACCGCCGGCCTCGATCGCGAGTACGAGCCCATCGAATACGACCCTGAGCAGCACAACGAATCCCTCTCCAGCATCGACAAGCGACAACCGAAATGCGGCACAAACTACGACCTCGAGAAGGAACCTCCTGACCCTCAGAACTGGTGCACTCCGAGCCCAATCGTCGGCGACTGCCAGCTCGGTCTCTGGTGCCAGGCCGACTGGCCGGGCTGGGCGCAGTGGCCTAGCCGCGGCTGGGTCTTCAACAACGCCTGCGACCACATTGGAGAGAATGTGCCCTTCCAATGGGATGACTGGCAGCCGATCTGCAGTCCTCTTCCCTACGTCACTCTCTTCTTTGCTCCCGGATGGGAGATCTACTATCCCGGAGAGCCGGATGGCGGTCCTTTCCCGGCTAGCTACTACTATCACCGGACTTTTGACTGCTCTATGAAGCCAAAGAATTGAGGCCAGATTGGTACAGTTATCTGAGGGTTAGTCGAACGCTGGGATTTATTCCTCTGCATAACCGATACCTCCATCGCACGCCTTCAGCAATGAGAGGAATTAGTTTGGATTGGCCCCGAGGAAACAGAACTTGTCTGGGGCTACGCAAAGGTCAGGCGATTGGGAACCTCCTAGGTCACCTAGCTTAGGTAGTGAACACCACTTTAGTTTCTCAAGACAATTGCATTACACATCGTGACTTTTCCCCTATAGTGACATTTCGCTTTTGATTTACAAACCCTTCGGGTGGTGTAGTTTGAGTGAATCGCCAACGTGTGAGAAGACTCTTGAACTCTTGAATGGAAGGGTATCTTGAGTGAGCTAATACCTCACTTACGTACGTGGCGACCCCTTTTCTGCAAAGATGCAACAGACACCTGCCCCAGTCTCCACAATTTCTTACGCCTTTTCCACGTCCCAGATTCTTCTCGTCCCTCACTCGTCGTCCTCGCTCTTCTTTCTCTTCTTCCTCTTGTGGCCGAGCTCTTCGGGGGGTATAAAGTCCTTTTCCCTCTCGCGCAACCTCTCCTCCTTCTTCGCCTTCTGCTGCTCCAAGCGCTCGGCCTGCGCGGCCTTGTTCTTGGCCTCCTTGCCCAAAAAGTACTCGCCCGTCTCGATCTGCTTGTCGACCTTGCTCTTCTCGGGCGCGGGCGGGAAGGGCGTGTAGACCTTTTTGGACTTGTCCGTGACCTGGTGCGGCACGCGACGGTGGCTGAGCGTCTTCTTCTTGAAATTAGGCAGGAAACGGTCCCAGCTCTCGTTGGCGAGCTCCGGGTCCTTTGCGAGCTCGCGCTTGATCATGAGCTCCTTGATGTAGTAGATGGGGTGGATGTTCTCCATGCAGTCCTCGACGACGCGGCGCACCTCCTTGAGGCCCTTGAAGGGTCCCATGACGGAGACGGTGCTGCCCTGCACGAGGATGTAGGTCTGTGTGAGTAGCTCGAGGGCCTTGAGGGTCGAGCCGTTGGGGCCGAGGATGCGCTGGCGGCGCTTGACGTAGCGCTCCTTGTTGCGGACCAGGTTGCGGATCTTGATGATGTCGGCTGCGACGCCGTCTTCGAGGATCTTGAGAGCCTGCGGCGCGGGGACGCTTCGGGCCAGGAGCTTGATGAGGTCGCGGGCGTTGAGGATGGCGGCGGGGTCAAATGTTTTTCTGGAGGGCAGATCATGTTAGTTGCTGTAGGCTGGGCACTGTGGAGGGATGAGATCGTGACCGACCTTGTCGTCTTGACGGTCATTGAACCCTCAATCAAGTCGAGCGAGCAAGCGATGCCCGTCTTCTCGAGGGCCTTTGTGACGAGAGGCCATGCCTCCTTGAGGTACACTTCGCGGTACTTGGGGAAAACAATCTGGAAGGAGGATTCCTCAGCAAATGTGCCGCCGGCGTTGTCGGCCGGTGTGAAGGTGTCGATTTTCCATTTGTCAATGTCGTCCGTATCCCACGGCTTGTCCTTATTGTATACGGAGGGCATCTTGTCGGTTGTCGCGTGTGTGAAAGATGAGTGACCCTCGACTTGTATGCGAGAAAAGTTTCGTAGTTACTTACCTACTAGTGGCTGCGGCGAACTTTTTCTTATCGATAACGCTGGAGACGGCACGTGGGGTACACACCGGTTTTTGTGGACCCAGTCCAGCATCCACCAGGCGAAGCCAGCCAGCTAACATCGTGGGCGATGAGAACAGTGACAATCGCATTAATACCTCGACAATGTTTACAGTTCAAAGTAGTAGTAAGTCAGCTAGTCGCATGTTAGTGATGCGCATCGGAACGACGTTTTCAATGAGCCAGGGCCGGTGGGCCGCTGCTTTCACGGCTGCCAACGTGGTAGTTGCGAGCCCCTGTGTGCGAGCCACAACTAGATATCGCGGATGATGATCATTTTTGTTCTGGCGCGTGTGATTTGCGCATGTCTTTTTGGATTCCGAACCCTTCTTGCGCCTCTGAATAGAACGATCGATTACACGTTCGAGGTTTTTTGACCGGCGCTCCAAATCGGGAACCTGCAAAGTGTATCCGTACCGCCCTAACAGTCAGCGTCGCCGTGAGATCTTCATATCAGATAACAGCGAGCCTTCTTTCACCGCTTATGCTTGCGGGTACAGGGGCCGCTGCGACCCCCCTAAATATTACCTACTCTTTCTGATGATCAAGGAGAGAAAACTTCAAGATCCTGACACATCAGCGCAGCGCGTGCTGTAAGGCTGAATGGGGTAGCCGATCCAATCAAATCGCGGCTTCCGTAATACGGTCCAGTGGGACGACCGCTGGGTAATCAGTATCGCCGATAGGTAGGATTAGTTGGCAGTTATCGCGTCCCGTCCATCCCCAGTAAATTTGGCCCTCCATCCTGATCGATTAAGGGGATGCGGGATGAAATCAATCCGCTCGCCATTCCATCTATTCTCTCCTATCCCAAAAGACAACCAGCTTTTCGCGTCCAACGTGCCTTTCTAATGTCTGAGACCTGGCTGTAGCTTCACCTTGTAACCATAGTTTTCTCCCCGCAATTCTGGCCTAGGGAACGTACCTGCCTCCCCCTCCAACTCAACCATTTGCTCCTTTCTGAGTCGCCTCCAGCGCGTCTTCCCGCTGAACAATTTTTTTTCGCCCTCCTACGGATCTGCACCTGCCATCTACCACCCACGGCCTGACTACACAAACACACGTCTCGCAATCTCAACTTCGCGCCTCGCCCCGAATTCTCGACGCAAGCCACTTTTTTGAGCCCTGTACGTGGGTCTCTCTTGCGAAAAACTTGCGACTGCACCACACGCGCATCCCGCGATCGCGAAGCGGCATACGAAAGCCTCCCTCCTTCGACAGATACCTCCCGTCCGCGACGATTTCGCTGCAACCGCCATCCTGGCTGCCGTTCGAGAGCCTTCTGCGCCTGCTCCGGCATTGGACAACCTCGCAGAGCACGAGCACGATCACGATCTGCCATCCTTTCGAGACGTCATGGAGGAAGCCACGGCTCTGGCCACCCTCGCGTTGCCACAAACGAACCTCGAGACGATCTCGCGGCCCAGTTCCACGTCGACATCGGAATCCGCAGCCGCAGCCGCAGTTGTAGCCGCGGCCTCGACGGTTCCTCAGTTGCCAGGCATTTCAGCGCTTGCCCAGGCCAACAACTCTGCGACGAGCTCGCCTCAGATGCGGTACGTCAGTATGCTTGGTGCCAGGCGAAGAAATGAAGGAGGCGCAGAGGGACAAGATGGATGGCCAGTCTGATGGCCAAAATTCACATGCGCTGTCTGCGCGCTCGTCGAGTAACTTTGGAGTCAATCTGGCGAAAAAGTAGACGATTTAGCCATCGCGCTCTATTGACAGGTCCCTCTCTGCTGCAATATCATTGGCCAGTCCAGAGTCCGGTTTCAGTGCTGGGAGACACAGTCGAGACGGGATGGAAGGAAATAGGACCAAGAAAGTGACGAGAGCTTCATGTGCTGACTTTGATCCACAGAGAAGCGATTCCCGCGCCCGCTCCCGTTGCCGCCTCCACACCGACTCAGGCGCCCGCGCCCGCGCCCGCGCCAGCTCCCGCGCCGACGCCGACTTACGCTTCTGGCGGAGGGTCCACCACGGTATGTCTGCATTTACCTTACCTTATCCCACCTTGTACGGAGACCATCGCGGGTATCTTATCATCGAGTCCAATCCCGAACCCCCCAAAAAAATCCCCCATCTCCTGCGTTAGTGTTATCGCAATTACCGTTCAGGTATTGCTGTTATCTAAGAACCAATGAACCCTGCAAGGCAGGTGTGGGGCTGCAACTGGCCGCGGTCGTTCCTTCCCTGTCTTATCTTTGCTCCACAGATAAGTTTTCTTGTTCCCATGCAGCGATAGTCGTCAACACCAAGACCAGAGTCCCAACTCTCATCGCGCGCTTCACCCCGTCAAGCACCACAAACAAGCAAACAGCCATATTTTTTTCGCGCTTCTTTGGAGCACATACTCAAAACCACTTTACGGAATCTTTTGCGATCATTTCGCTGGCGTTGCGCACCATGATGGCCACCCAAGCTAACGAATCGACGCAGCCAACATGCCAAAACTGTCAGACCTCAACCACGCCCCTATGGCGGCGCGATGAATATGGATCAGTTCTCTGCAACGCATGCGGACTGTTCCTCAAGTTGCATGCAAGTATACCCTATGCTTCTCATACAGAGACGAGCTAACCTGGTGCTAGGGTCGTCCGCGTCCGATCTCGCTCAAGACCGACGTGATCAAGAGCCGAAACCGCGTGAAGACGATGCGCCCTGATCTTGCGTCCAAGAAGAAGGTATGTGGCTCGTATGTATTGCCTGGCTTTGGCTAATTATGTTACTAGCAACAGCAGCAGCAACAACAAGCTCATCAGTTTGGCGCAAACGATCCGAACGGCCTCGACATCCATGGACAGAACCAGCGCAGACAGTCGCAAAAGTCAAACGGCAATCCGGATGGCTCTGACTCCCCCGTTTCTCGTACCGCGACCCCGTCTCTATACAACCCTAGCCTCCCGGTCTTCCAGGGTATGGACGATGCGCAGCTTCAGGCAGGACTGCAGGGCTTCAACGTCTCTGGTTCGGATAACCGCTCGGGCTCCCCCCTGAATGGCGACCGTCACCTCGATGCCCCACAAACACACGAGCAGCTCATTGCCGCCAATTCGGCCCTCAAAACCCGGGTCAGCGAGTTGGAGCTTATCAACGAACTATTCCGCGGTCGACTCGGCCAAATGGAGCAAGACGAAGCGAGTGCAAGAAGGGGGCAGGAAATCAGCGGCAAGGCCGAGGCCCAGCTCCGGGCTCAGCTCGAGAGCAGTAAGAAGCAATTGGACGAGAGCCATCGCAGAGAGAACAACCTCAAGCGGCGCCTCGACGAGATGGAGCTGGAGCTCAAGGAGGTCCGAGATGCCCTGGACCTCTCGGACTCTGGCCGCGCAGCAAAAAAGCCTCGGATTGCGGAAGTGGTTACCAGCGCCCCCGTTGTCGCAGCCGCCACGGGTGGAGGAGGCGGTGACGGTGGTGGTGGTGGAGAATCCGAGGTCTCGACTCCCCAGTCTGCCGCGAACTGATATGGCACCATCCGGGGCCCAAATCACCATCACCTGCGCGATTTCCAACTCCACGTACATCACCATCACCACCACCCCCCAACACCTTGGGACGAGCTTTGCAAAATTCTCCACGCTTATACCTATAATGTCGCGTGTGTTTTTCCGTGTTTCCTTTCTTGGTTTTCCCCCGGACGTCCTACGGGATTCGGGTACGATGGCTCGGGCTGCTTGCTGTTAGAGGGACAGGCGTTGCGGCCCTGTGGGTCAAGGTAGTCAAAAGTTTTTATTGTGACAAAAAATAGAGGCTTTACGGGATTGATGACCACACACACACACATACTCTATTTGGAGTTGTTCTCTCTGCTGTGACTGTGATGTCCGTTGTCTAGCTCTGATTCCCATCGTACATCAACTGTGTGATCTGTATATAATTGGTGTGAAGGAATTCGGAGGACAAGGACAGTATCACGAATAGCGAATGGGTATACTCCGTAACCTGGACAGCATTTATCAATACCACCATTGTGTCCGACGGGGGAGATTAAACCTCCCGACGTCATGATCACGCTTGTATGCCGCCGTCTACCCCTTTTATATGACGTTCCGCAGAGACACCTGGCCCGGGGTAGGTTATCTGAAGAGGCGCGTAATTAGTGGGTAGCGGTACTCAGTGCCGATCAGTCTGTTGGTGCAACTAGTTTTTTGATCACAGTCGTGGATGGAGTTTGTATTGATAGCATGTGTTGAGAGGCGATCTTTTGTGGGAGAGAAGAAAAGGACGAGAGGCAAGGTAAAAGGATAGATCAGAGGGCGATATTCATTAACATTAGAGAGGGTATGTGGATTCCGACTTCCTACCTCCCTCATCTTCGCATCGTACCGTATAAAATAGATAGATGTACACAATAGAATAGGGAATCAAGGTGCATGTATGGAAGATATCGACTTGAGTCGGTAAAGAGCTCCAGGAGTGGTGAATACAAGACTCGTTGAATCCAAAGTTGTCTGCAGTCTTCACGGCAGTTCTGCTATTTCAGACTTCTCCGCTATCCTTTCCAATGTCCACGTGGCGCCATCACAGACGACAAGATGGTCAAAAACGACAAGAGGATACAGTACTTTTTTTTTTATAGCAAAGTCAAGGACAGGACTTATCATGCACAAGTATGCTTCCTTGAGATCCTCATAAATACGTAACTTAGCTAGCCGCCTAGAGGCAGGGGTTGAAGTAGCACATGGATCTTTCATCACGAACATGCAACTTCCCGTCAAGACTTTGGCATGGTTGCCATGCAGTGTCATAGAAACAAAAAAGCAAGTGTGGCTGTCAATGGCATGTTCGCAAAAGCCCCCCACTCCCACCCCACAGGGAGCCGAGGGAGATAATCCAGACCTGAAGTGCGATTAGATAGTGAGGTAGAGAGAGAGAGAAAGAGAGAGAGAGAGACATGCGCGGGATGGAAGCCGGGAGAAGGAAAAAAGGTACCAGGATATCCACTCGAGTGGATGCCCGCTGCTGGACGAGACGGGCGCATCTTCCCGCCCGGGCGGGCTCCATATTTCTCCTATCATTCGCGGGGTCGATAACGCCTCTGTTGACTTGACTTTAATCGTTGAGGAAACTCTGAAAGTGGACTGTTGAATTGGTTACGTGAACGTCTGCCGTTCTTCTCTTCCCCCAATGATGCCGCGCTGCAGATTGACGTATTCGAATGGCGATGATCTCTCTTGGCTTCTTCGGACTCTGTTTTGGTACGGGGGTACGGATACCGGTACCCAAGTCCAGGGCAGAATCACACACAGACTTTGGTGATTGCGATCCCTGGAAATCCTTCGCCCCGGACTGGGAAGGCAGGGATGATGGCAACATTCGAAATTAATTTTTTTTTGGGCGCAAGGGCTTCTTTTAGGACGTTCACGCCTGCGATGGAGGGGCTGGGGGGGGGAGATATCAGATAAGACATCACTATCAAGGTTATCGTCGAGAAAAGGAAAGAAAGGGAAATAAATCAATAAAAGGAAGGCCCTTCTCGTTCCCCGATCTCCTACTCTGAAACTGCGCGGTTCATCAGAGCTGTCAAGCCTTTTTCTGCCTAGTGGGAAACAAGTCAAAAATTCCACAAGGTAATAAGCTGCACAGATTGGCATTAGCAAATATGGATAGAGGCGCAGCAAGAAAACAACCCATTGGACAATTTACACCTGACAGGGTGTTGAAAACGGATTTTTTTTCCATTGTGGCGGCGAACATTATTGGCCTGTCCGCCGAACATATGCAAATGCAACAAGCCTCGGTGGCTTTTCACTGGAAGGGCAACAGGACTCGGGGGGGAATGGTTCTGCATGCCGTGGGTGGTTGTGGACGACGGGGATAAAAGATTATCACGGATTCCAGAGCTGACGCACCGAGGTTTGCAAACTCATTTCTCAGGTTGCCTCCCCCATGTGGTTTTGTGGTGAGGTACTTTACATTGGGCAACGCATAACATGGCATCTAAAGTACTATTACGCCCCCCCTCGATCTTATGGAGAGGGAGCACTCGCACAAAATGTTTGGTCCAGAAGCAACCCCGATGGCGAAAAGCACACCACCCTCACCAAGCTCTCTCCTACCAACACTGGGAGGAGGTTCGAACTAGTCCCTCAACACTCTCCCTAGGTACTAGGCATTGCTGCTTGTGGTGGAAGACCCCGTCCGACCCTCTTTCGCGGGCGGCGGCCCGTGGCCTAGGTAGAGATCGTCTGGAGACGAATTCAATGAGTGACTCCCAAGGAAGTGGATGTCCAGTAGGTACTAGGTAGGTTCGTACCTTTCACAAGCTCGGACGCCCGGAGTCCCACGTTACCACCGGGCGGCCGATGGATCGACCAAGGCAAGCAGGTCAACGCTTTTCGCAACGCAGTCACTCCAACAGCAGTCAGCCAGAAGCAGAGAGCAAGAGAGGGAAAAGAACTGGGCCTAGACGTGGGCTGGAACTTCTTGTCCCTCTACCGTATTACGTTGCCGCAAGGTACCTTCTCTTAGTACATTCGTGGTCATCTCTCGGCGGCCTCGTACCATTGGCTGACGGGGGACTCGTTTCCCTGTGCCCAAGCGGCCGCTTTAGGCAAGTGGAGTTTCCTCCACTCCAACCCCAACCTGGGGGAGGACGAGGACCCATGGGTCCTGGAGGTTACTTCACGCTTACGGGCCCACGGTCCCACGGCTCACGGAGGGAATCGGGGGAACGGACGGCGAGCGAGAGAGGCGTGGCGTGCTGCAAGCCGAGAGAGAGATGGATGGAGAGATACCTGCATGCCGATTCCGCCATAAATTAGTTCCCATATCAATTGGCACACCCGACACGCCCGCACTCAACTCGCGACTTTGTCTCGCAAATTCCACTTTCACATTTCATCCTCTCGTTTTTTATTATTTGTGCGTCTTGTGTCTGCCCGTCTCTCTTTTCTTACCATCTTATCCATACCTACAGTTGTGTGGAACATTGCAGTTACAGGGTGAAATCTCGCAACTGACACCAGGGAGGAACGCCGGGCTCCATCCCTCTCGTGTCTAGTTCCCTCCAGAGACATTCCAGACGGGGCGCCCAGCTTTCATATCTCTCATATCTCGGGGCTACCTATCTCTTCACCACACAAGCTAGCATACCAATCACCCAATTCACTTTTCTGATTCGCCTCCATTATTGACATTGGCCACCTTCTCCTCCCCCCTCCCTCGCCCTCTGGAGCAATCATAATTCTCTCCACAACACCATGTCGAGGACGGGAAGTTAACCATTCACCAACACCACCAACCCTCCCCGAAAGCGACCCACGCCTGCTTCTTCCCACAGAAACACTAAAGAATCCACATCTTCTAAACCGATCATCGCCCTAATTACACGCCTAATTATACGTCTCTTGACGAACAAATATTACTACGCAGATAGACACGCCAACATAAAAAAAAAACAGAAGAAGGAAAAGAAACACCAATACACAATCACAAAAATGCTTCAAATGTCACAACTACCGAGCCGGGCAGGCTACAGCCCCCTCGTACCCTCGCCCCTAAACCCAGACGTCCACGCCATCGCACCGCAACGGTGCCAAAGACTACGCGAAAAGAGACGCCAGCAGGGCCGCGGCGACGTGAGCCCGACCCAGAGACTCCTCCGCCACAAGGCCGCCATGGCCTGGAAGTCAGAGGCCCTGACGCGGGAGAGCACAATGTATACGAGGGACGAGATCCTCGACATCCTCGCAGAGTGCGATCGCCAAGACGAGGTCGCGGCGAGGGGCCTCGTCGTCATGGCTACCTCGAACCAGCCGCCGTGGCCGCCGTCCCAGAAGCAGCAGAAAAAAAAGCAGCAGCCAAAAGTCCACATCCGGGCGGCGCACTGGAAGGAGCACGAGGGCGAGGAGTATGATTTCTTCTGCGAGGCCGACGACGATGCGGACGAGACTTCACGGCAGTGGGGGTCGCTCGTGCCTAGGCTACGCAGCCCCTTCTCCAAAGACACCGCTCGCCGGGTTGCGCTGGCATTTGGGTTGATGTGTATCTGTGGATGTCTACCGGCCCTTCGAGCCCACGGCTTCCACATGTATTCAGCTACCGAGGCTGCGTAGGTGCCATGGTCTTCCCTTTATCGCCCACACTGAACAAATCCACAAATTCTTCGTCATCATGGCGGAAGGAAACTTCATAATTCTAGCCCAACCCAAAGGCAATGGAGAAGAGTCTGTCTATCAGAGCGGGGCTTATCGTCATCCATACATCAGCCGGAACCAGCTCACGTCTAGAGAGCATACATTACAAACATTACACACATCCATCATCCTACAAGTCGTTGCTGAGGCTACTTCTTCTCTTCGTTCGGGTTCGGAGGCTTTTCTTTATCCGTCGTGGGATCGGCGTTGACCTGTTTTGCGGCTTCCTTCGCGGCCTCGTCCGCGGCTTCAACAGAAGCCTCTTCCTCTTTGGCCTTCTTGGCGTGGTTCACCTGCCAGATGGCCCGCTCGATCTCGACGCCCAGCTCGGGGACATCAAGCGTCTTGGCAATCCGTTGGCCATTGGCCTGTGAGAGCAGGATTGCCTCGTCCTTTGCGTTGTCTCCCTTGCCTTTCAAAGGCTCCGTGCTGCCAAGGGCTGGTTTCGACGGTGTTACGGTTGTGTTTTCTGGGATTGAAGGCGTATAAATGTCGTTCAACAACTTTGACGGGGACAGGGCCAGGAGTTTATTGTCAACGAGGAATCGGAGGTGCTTGCCTCCCTCGAGAGCACGCCAATGCGACCAAGCTCTGTAGACGAGATAGAAGAACGGCAGATTAGGTATCCTGGGGGGATAGTAATATCAGCAATGCAATTCTTCCACAAAGAGATTGGAGTTCCAACTTACACGGGTACCAGGGCGAATGGCGCCGAGATGGGCATGCCAATCAAGCACCATATGAGCTTCCTCTTGTGCAGCGCATCTCGTTCCGTGGCCAGTGTCCTGACAACCTGCTCAGCCTGCTTTGTAGGGATAATGGTATCCGGGAAGACCAATTCAATCTTCTCCTTGCCCTTGAGCTCCTCGTCCTTGCGTCGCGCAGAAATGGGTGGCACCGACTTCAGCCCCCATTCTTCGTACGGAATACGACGCAGGGCGTAGTTTCCATAGCTGACAACCTTCTTCTGCCATCCGCTCTCTTTTGCTTCCCAGCCAGCCCACAACTTGGCTGCCCTCTTGCCGACCTTATCTGCCAAGCCTTGTTGGTTCGTCGTCGCAATATTGAGTCGTTGTGAGTAGAGGAGAGTTCGACTCGTGGTGATTGGGAGGAGGTAGAGACGCATATCGGATGACGAGGGGCTCAGACCGAGCGGTGGATTTCGGGGTTTGGTTTGGGGCGATTAACTTCGTCGTCGTCGGGTCGCTCGAGGATATGCGATACGCTGCCCCGCGGCAGTTGCGATGGGACGGAGGAGGGGAAAAAGAGGATGCTCTTGGCTCAGAGATTAGCAGAAACAGCTTCTCCCAGTCGGCATGGCGAGTGTTATACTGAATTAGCCGAGGGGCGAAAAGAAAAGCTCTAGTGAAATAAAAAACCAGGCGGCCTCTTGTCCCTGGTCGAAGAAAGGAGGCAATTTTGACGTGTGTCGTGGAGTTCCAAGTCTGGAAGCTCTCAGCCTCTTGGACTTTGAAGAACTAGAGCCTGCCCCCTGTCATCCATCTTAGCTTCTGGGTCAAGCTTCCTGGACTGAACCCGGACGCAGAGCAAGTGACGCAGGTCGGCGTCATGGGTCGTTCCTGTGATTTGAGTGGTGCGCCGAGTGCGAGGTGTCCACTGTTAGGGCGATACATGAAGGGGTATCCCCGGAGCTCAAGAGTGCTTGCATCAATGCCTATCAGAACCCCCTGCTCAGCTGCGCGATAGGGGAAGAAATGGGCCTGATACCATGTCCGATATCCACCCAGCTCAAAATCGACTGCCAAGCTGACGTGTGCCCCTCTATCACGACTGAATTTTCCTCTGGTCCCAGATCGCGCTCGCGCAAATTGGCTTTCGAAACCCGCTAAATTCCTCCATCTCAAGGGTGATGACTGCCCGTAGACTCGGGAGTACGTACCGTCTATTCTCGCAGGCAGCCGGCATCGAGGGGCCCACATGTCGGGTTGCTCGAGTCGTTAGGTTGCTCCAGTGCACCGGGTGCTACCAGCCTTCCAATCGCTTTTCCCTCTCTCTCCCTTCCGATTCCCTTTCCCCAGCCCTCCATTTTTGTCGTCCAGTCTGTTTGGCGCCGCAAGAGGTGTCTGGACTCTGCAGTCTCTCTGCAAAGTTTCCCGGTTTGCTGGAACGCCCGGGCAAAAGTTGCGGTCATAGACCTGGAGTGGCACAAACCGAGTGTCGTGTGGTTTGCTCTTTGGTGTTTTCCTACGAATACTTAGGCTGGCCACCGTCAGTTTTGGGATTCACCCTGCAGACAGAACCAAAGGACGGGACTGGACGGGGACGACGACGAAGCCAAGAAATAGCGACGCCAGCCAGCACCACTAGCTCATCTCTCCCCACGAGGACACAGCCGCCGCCTCCGCCGCCGTTGAGAGAGACACAGGGCGCACCCAACCGCTGCTAACTGTCTCCCGTCACGCGCACCTCTTTCTGCCGTGTCTTTTTTTTATTACTTTTACCTTGGGCTTTGGGCTTGATCACGGTCTCGTTGCTGCTTTACCTTCTTGCTTTTCTCAGATCATAATCTTATTTTCTTACGTCTCTCACCCGCTCCTTCGCCCTTACGACTTTCCTTCCCAACCTGTGTACTCACCTTCGACAACAAAAGGCACGATACACCACCTGCGATAATAATATCGATAGCTCGCTTTCATACGGCCTCGACCGAAAGGCGGAGGGCATATTAATATGCGAGCCTCTTTACACGCCATTGACGAAGCGTTCCACTCACGACGCTCACAATCGCAGACGACCTCGTCATAGCACCCCCTCCCCTCGAGTTCAGCGTCCAGCCTAAGCCAAGGCTGCGACTGCGATGAGCACATCCAGCCACCCGCCTGGCAGTTCCGCCTCAGCCGACTTTCGAGCATCAGTAGGCACAAGCAGTACCGCAATCGATAATGGTGCCCCGCGCCTGCGCTTACAACCGAAATCGCTCCCACGTAAGGACCATCTCCGGCTCGTTCGGGGCTTTGATTGAGCAGGAGCCGTACTAATCACCTTGTCGCAATAGCATGGATAGATTCATACGAGACGCGGTACGGCCAACCCAGCGAAGACCAGCTTCAACTGCTATCACCCCCGGCACGAACCGTTCCACCTCACCACAACCACCAGCCTAAGGAGCCTGATCGTCGGGTGTCGCGTGACGGCTGGGTCGACGAAATGGGCGATCCTGTCTTAGAGAATGCTCGCCCAAACACAAACAAACGGCTTACAGACTTCTTCCGTGGCAAGGGCGCGCAACACGGCAGAAAGTGGGATCACCTACGAACAGCAGAGCCTGTCATCGTCTCGCAACATAGGCCTGCAACCCAGGGCCCACCAGCAGCATGGAAGGACTTTCTACACTCGTCGGCCTACGGTCGCACGGAAGGCGAGGAGTCGGAGGTTGTGGATGTCAGCATGCTAGATAAGCTGCAACCCGACTTTAATAAGCGATACGACTCGCATGCCCACCGAGATTTGGAAAAGGGGTCGATGAAACAGAAGAGAACGAAGACCTTTGGACAAAGAATGTGGTCCCTTATTCTACGACACTACCTAGTGCCCCTGGTTTTCCGACTTACAGTCATGTTCACGTCCATCATCGCCTTGGCTATAGCAGCCCGGATATACGAAAAGGAGAACGCTAAGAGCAACGTCAGTCCGGAACGCGCGCAAAGTATTGTCGCTATTGCTGTCGATACGGTGGCAGTGCCTTACATCGGGTATATGATCTGGGACGAGTACACGGGCAAGCCATTGGGCCTTCGACCAGCCGTCCAGAAGATTGCCCTTATCCTGCTTGACCTCTTCTTCATCATATTCAAGTCAGCCAGCACTTCTCTGGCCTTCGAATCGCTAGTTTTCCATAATGTCGAAGCAGGGCAAGTGAGGCAGTTGAGTCAGGCCCTGGCATCTTTCATGCTGGCGGGTCTGCTGGCGTGGACCCTGAACTTCATGGTCAACATTTTCCGGACGGTTCAACGACTTGGAGGAGGCGAGGATGAAAGCTCTCACGATCGCATGTAATTTCGGGGGCATGGGAGGGGTTTTCTTTGGTCTTGTTGGGTATACCCGGTTCATTAAAAAGCCTGTACGATAACTGTAGCGCGCAACGGTAGCTGCGGTCCTTCCTCTTTGTTCATTATACATACTTCTGGCTGTCTAGTCACACGTTGATACCTTCCTTTACACAGTCTCAACAGTAGAATATGTGATTGGCCTTTTTGTGGGACATTTGTCAAAGTATGATGTGTTCTGATGTGTCAGATTGAAGATGAGAGATCTGACTCATTTTGGCTGGGGATGCATTTCACAGCTGGCGGTGCCTACCTCCTGGGCTCTCACCTCTGTAGGAAATAGAACTGACAGACATCCGTAACAAGGACGTATTACAAAGGTAGCAAAGCATGCGATTCAACTTCAGGTGGAGTTTGTGAGACGGCAAATAACAGTCAACAACAAGTAGTCTATATGTGACGAGCGGATGTGTCCATATCCAAGATCCTTGTTGTCTAGGAAAACCAAATAGGAAGCCGATGAAAGAGTTTTGTCACTTTGAGGTAATTGCTAAGGGGAGGGGAATGGTCAAGTAAGAGCCATGAGTCAAGACCTAAACAATATTTGTCCATGGGGCATCGTTCCTAGAAGCGGTGGACAAACTTCTTAAGCAAAATCACAGAGTTAGTCAGTTTTGTCATCTCTGGTGTAAAGTGAATGAGGTCGACTGTGACCAAGAGCCTCAACTATAAGATGCCGTTGAATCGGTAAGGTCTAGGTGGGTGCAAGAGACAAGAGGACAAGGTAGTTGTACCAATCAAGAAGTAAGGTAAGGCTGAGAAGTTCCGATGTCACCTCCGTTCCACCCCCGGCAAAACCCTGAAGTAAGGTACCTTTAGGCTGTGTCTTAATTGCGGCTTGCCTGGTCGCGTACCTGAAGCAGACGACCATAAAGCACGCCTTCCCTATCGTAGATTACCAAAGCTGATGGCCAGGGGCGGTGGCGCTCGGCAGAATTTTCCACTAAGCCTATCCAGGTATAGACCCACTTCCCTTTCCGACAGCCAGTCCCAAGCACCCAGGCCTCACCCAGGTTCAGACTTCAGAGGGCAGAGTCCCCACTCTCCACCACTCACGCTGTGACGAAGAGGTGGGCGTGGGCTAGCCTGAGTCTTGTTGCAGCCCAGAGCGTGGTCGTGTCGCTACCGTATCCGTAGCTGGCCACCGTCAGACCTGGATCCTCCACCACCGGACGCCGCCTCCATCTGCAGCGCCTTTCATCCAGCAAGCAAAGCAGCCTTTCTTTCTACCCACCAGTCGACCAGTGTCTGCCTGATCGCGTCCACAGCTATTGTCTCCAGGCTACAAAGTTCTCTTCTTCATTTTCTAGCTTTCCCATTCAAGGTGCTATTCGAGCAAAGTACGGCCTCACTTCCCTTCTCTCTGACTCAGACAAAGGGTGCCGTGTTCCTTCCCTTTCCGCCCCCCCAGACCCCCGTAACGTAAGGCAGCCTCTCCCTCCTTCCAACCCTTGCGACCACCGGCCTTTCCTTTGCATCTCCGTTCTTCGACTTCGATTTCCAGAAGCGTCCAAGTCCACGCCACGACATAAACCTTTCTTGACCATCCACTGATTCTCCTTCATCCTTCCACCAACGGCAGGACTGGAGGATCAAATACATTTTTTCCATCTCTTGCCTAGACGGTCTTTCTAAACTTCTCGTCTCTCGCAGCAGGCCCCCCCCCCCCCCCCCCCCCGCCTTCTACGCCGAATCGACCCCCGAACCAACGTCCGCCCCTCCCCCACCACGACGGCCACGACGGCCTCACCGATTTCCTCCGCCGACAGCGCGCTCGATCTGAGAGCTTTGGATCATGTCTACAGCCAAGATGGCGCCCGCCGTCCAGATGCCTCCAGTCCCCAACCGGGAGGACATTGGAGCCACGTGAGTGGACCTCTGCAGCCTCGCGACTCCGTCGCCGTTGGTCGAACACCCCGCGCTGACTGCGTACAGATGGAAGTACCTTGAGGCAGGCATCCAGCGCATCATGCTAGATCTTGAGCGTGGTATCGACATGCAGATCGTGAGTTGAACTACCCAAAGCTGCTCCACGTTCCTCGTGCCAGATGAAAGAGTGCTAACCACTACTCGCTCGCCACAGTACATGGGAGTCTACACGTACGCCTCGCTGACCGGTCGCTATCTTCATCTTCTAACTTGGTCTCTAGTGCTGTTCACAATTTCTGTACATCCCAAAAGGCCGTCGGATTGTCCGTACCCCAGGGAAGCATCGGATCAGGCAACCACAGAGGAGGTGAGCATGGAACACGCTTCCGCTGCTGCGTAGGGTGGTCAAACTGACATCTCGTTATAGCTCACCTTCTCGGAGAGGAGCTGTACAACAAGCTCATCGAGTACCTCAAGCAACATCTCGAAGGGCTTGTTCAACAGTCCAAGACACACACCGACGAAGCCTTGCTGACCTTCTACATCAAAGAATGGAACCGATACACGATTGCGGCCAAGTATATTCATCACCTGTTCCGGTATCTGAACCGACACTGGGTGAAACGCGAGATGGATGAGGGTAAGAAGAACATCTACGACGTCTACACGTTACACCTGGTCCAGTGGCGAAGGGTCCTCTTCGAGCAGGTATCGACCAAGGTTATGGAAGCGGTTCTGAAGCTGGTCGAGAAGCAGCGCAACGGCGAGACCATCGAGTACGGTCAGATCAAGCAAGTTGTCGACTCTTTCGTGTCCCTCGGTCTCGACGACGCCGACCCCACCAAGTCCACTCTCGACGTCTACCGCTTTCACTTCGAGCGCCCCTTCTTGGCTGCGACGAAAGAATACTACCAGAACGAGTCGAAACAATTCGTCGCCGAGAACAGCGTCGTCGAATATATGAAGAAGGCGGAAACGAGACTTGAGGAAGAGGAGGAGCGGGTGCGCATGTTCTTGCACGCTGATATCATCACACCACTGCGCAAGACGTGCAACCAAGCCCTCATCGCCGATCACTCTACGCTACTTCGCGACGAATTTCAGGTTCTCCTGGACAACGACAGAGAGGAAGATATGGCCAGGATGTACAAGCTCCTGTCTAGGATTCCAGAGGGCTTGGATCCACTGAGGCAGAGGTTCGAGACACATGTCCGCAAGGCAGGTCTGAGTGCCGTGGAGAAGGTGGCATCCGACGCGGAGAAGCTGGAGCCAAAGGTCTACGTCGATGCGCTGTTGGAGATCCACTCCCAGTACTCGGGCTTGGTGACGCGTGCCTTTGATGGCGAGGCCGAGTTCACGCGGTCCCTGGATAATGCCTGCCGCGAGTTCATCAACCGAAACGAAGTCTGCAAGTCAGGCTCCAACAAGTCGCCAGAGCTCTTGGCCAAGTATACAGATGTGTTGTTGCGCAAGAGCAGCACTGGCATCGAGGAGGGCGAGCTGGAGAACACGCTCACCCAGATCATGACCGTGTTTAAGTACATTGAGGATAAGGACGTGTTCCAGAAGTTCTACTCACGCATGCTTGCCCGCCGCTTGGTGCACAGCAACTCCTCATCGGACGACGCGGAAACAAGCATGATCAGCAAACTCAAGGAGGCTTGTGGTTTCGAGTACACCAACAAGCTCCAGAGGATGTTCCAGGACATGCAGACGTCCAAGGACCTCAACGTCAGCTTCAAGGAGCATGTCGCCGGTCTTGAGGGCGTTAAGACCACCCTCGATTCCCAGTACTCTATCCTTGGAACTGGTTTCTGGCCCCTGACTGCACCAAACACCAGCTTCACTCCTCCGCAGGAGATTAATGACGACTGCGAGCGGTTTACCCGATTCTACAAGAACCGGCACGAGGGCCGCAAGCTCACGTGGTTGTGGCAGCTTTGCAAGGGCGAGCTGAAGGCTGGCTACTGCAAGAACAGCAAGACGCCCTACACATTCCAGGTATCTGCCTATCAGATGGCCATCCTGCTCCTGTACAACGATAAGGACAAGCACACTTACGAGGATATCTCGGGCATTACGCTTTTGAGCTCCGAGGTTCTTGACCAGGCCTTGGCCATTCTTCTCAAGGCCAAGGTCCTCATTATGTCTCCTGCTGAGGGTAAGCCGGAGGACGGCAAGAGCTTCCGCCTCAACTACGACTTCAAGAGCAAGAAGATCAGAGTCAACCTGAACCTCGGTGGTGCCAAGGAGGCGAAGCAGGAGGAAGTGGAGACGAACAAGACGATCGAGGAAGACCGCAAGCTTCTGCTGCAGGTATGTTTGTTTATTTCTAAGACACGTGAATTTCACCTACTAACAAGGCAACAGTCTGCCATCGTTCGTATCATGAAGGCCAGGAAGAAGATGAAGCACACTCAGCTCGTCAGCGAGACCATCAACCAGATCCGGTCGCGCTTCGTGCCAAAGGTTTCGGACATCAAGAAGTGCATAGAGATTCTGCTCGACAAGGAGTACTTGGAGCGACTCGAAGACGACGAGCTTGGATACCTGGCGTGATGGGAAGTGGATCTTACTTTCGGGAGGAGGAAATACCCCCTTGCCTCTCTCGATGGCTCATGTATTACAACAACCTCAAAACTGCATACAACACCACACCCAGTCTCACCAGGCATCGATTTGACTTACCCGGACACATATAAGGCGTGTGCAGGTTCTTCGGCAACAGGACGGAGGAACACTGATGAAGGGATTTGTTCTGCTTCGGGATACGGGCAGTGGGCAGGCGGGGAGGTTTAGATAGCTGCATGCGGTTTTCCTTGACTGTTCAACAAAAAGTGTTTACACGGTGATCTTGGTGATGAGCAAGGAGAAGCCGGGCGATATGGCCACCCTATGGGTCAACAGCGTAGATCAACAGCGTAGATCTAGGGTAATTCTCGTGTTGAAGAGAAGTATGCAGACCTTGAATTGTCAATCAGTAGAACTGTTGCGGTGCTGTGCCATGGTGCTCTCTGTGATGAGAAGATGTACCTGTCAATTGTAAAAGTGACTGGGATTACGACGGCGAGCTCAGCTGGCCTGTTGAGTTGAGGGGTGCCTAGGTAGGTAGTGCGGATGGAGCTGCGTTGAAACAGCGTTGAAGCAAAACTACAATAGACAGAGCCCAGGGAACCTTATGTATACAGCTACTCCGTACATTGTCTATAATTAATCTAATACTATTCTCAAGATCGAGGTTCCGTTCTACTCTCATTGCATTGTTGCTGTAGTCCGCAATGCTCTAGTCTTTGGGAAGTGACTAAGCGGGGGAACCTCCATCGCAAGATGAAGAGTTGTTGATGGTTGGCGACCTCCCCTCAACCACGGGATCACAAGAAAACGCTTCACACAAGAAGAACCGAATTTTATTCAGATATCTTTCTCTCTGCGGAAGTGCTTTTTTTATTTACCAATGCCTTTTTTGTTTTCTTGTGTTGATGCGGGGGAGGCAGTTACGCGGTGTTGCGTCCTCTCACGCTATCTTCGACTCTGCCTCTGTTATTCATCACATACGACCATACCCACTGGAAAACTCGGGATCCCGTCCGCTCTCCCATAGATAAGCCAGTGAGGGCCGGATTAGTAGTTGGGTCGGTGACGACCAGCGAATACCTGGTGTTGTATGTTTTTGAAGTTTTGTTCGTTGATATGGGGTGGGTGGTGGATGAGGGCTCCGCTAGGTGGAGCTATCGTGAGGTCTGGGGGCTTCGAGAAGTGGTTTGGATTTTTGGTTTCTTGGACTGCGGGGTTGACTAGGCCGTTTGGTTTAGTTTTGGGGGATTATACTTGAATCCTTGATTTGAACACACTTGTATCCCTTGTGGGAGGGTATACGGATATACATCGAAGTCCATTTAGACAAGATGCCGCCGCCAGGAGCGATCAATTGTGCTACGACTTCAGGTCAAAGTCCCATGTCGGGTGATTGCTGTAAAAGGGACTGGTACAAAGAACTGTTGAGAAGTTCAACATGCGCTCTGCGAAGAGTCCAGAGGTCTCAAGGGCTCTGGTGGTGATGGTGAGTGGCGTTGAGCCGCCTCCCGGCATGGTAAATAGAATATAGTTGAGATGCGGTTCAGTATATCCTGTAGACAGAGTCTTACTCTCGGCCGTTTTTTGTTTCTATCGAATTTCGGTTCGAACCACGAATTTGTAGCGTGTGTCTAGTATCTGGGCTGTATCTGTTCTGACATCTCTGCCTTTTCTCTGACTCTGGAACTTGTGAAATGCTGCTTTGCTTCGTCTGTACTCATTGTTTGTGTTAGCATATCGCATCTGGTTTGACCATGCGGTAGACTGTGTGAAGTAGGGAAAGTGTTCGTACATTAGGTATTGCGTGGAAAGTGGGCGAGTAAGTGGACCAGATCTAAGCTTACAGTTTACATGGCCTGCGAGAGGTGGCTTTGTGAGTGCTCGTTGCGGCACCAAAGTAAGGCTTTCTAACAACAGGCTTTAGGTAAGGTGTAATAAGGTGTCGTATTTCCCAAGAATGGGAGGACCTATGAGTTGCGTTGAGCTGCCTCTTGCTGTGCGGAACGGCTTTTGTCGAAAACTTAGTCAAGTTCTTCGTGAGGCTAGATCTGGCTCAAGGCAGTTTAATCCATCCAGGTCGTTCATCTGTACATAGCTCAGTTTTCTAACCAACGGTATCCATCTTTTGTCCAAGGGGGCTTCTGAGTTCGTTGTAAAGGTTGCCGACGCAACAGGATGTCATTTTGGGACAAGGCTGGCTATCGTTTGCGTGCTCAGCTTGCGAGCCTGCGTCGTCCACACGATAACCACATTTAGATTCGCTGTCGCAGCGCAGATGAGCAGTGAGGCGCTATCAAATCAGTCGTCAAGTTCTTCATGCAGCCAAGTCCTCCTCGCCACGGGGCGCAAAGCCATAAGCTTATGATGCGTCGTAGGTGCATTGAAGCCCCCACGGGCTCAGCCTGATTCACGGTATACATATCTTGTCCGTCTGCACATGAATAACGATTTCCCGCCATGCCCATATGTCGTTTTTAGTATCTCAAAGTGATTGCAATATTTCAGAATGGCGACCCACCAAGACGCTTCTCCCATCACTAGCGATAGTCTACTTGATAGACCTCCTCGACCTTCGTCTGTATCCGACATAGATGAAGTATATGACAGACCAGAAACAACAACATCAAGCGAGCAGCCTGGTGATCTTCAGGATACTGGCTCGATAAGTGACTATACCATCATTCCAGTAGAAGAAGAGTCCCGAGAAGAAACCCAAGGGCCTTCGTCAACCAATCCTGAACGCACGGAGGAGGCCGATCTCAGCCAGGCTGAGAAGAATAGCCTACTTAATCAGCCTCTCGGCAGAGTATCAACCCTGAAGCAATGGAACCTAGAGTTAGTGGCACTTTTAACATCCGCGATTGCTTTCATCATCATGGTTATCCTCTTGGTGGTTAGAAATGGGAAACCGCAACCGGACTGGGCTTACAGTGTGAGCATTAACACACTTGTCGCAATATTGACCACACTTATAAGAGCCGCAATGCTATTCGTGATAGCAGAAGGTGAGATTCTTATCTTCTCCTTACTGATGGGACCACACACTCATGATACTTAGTTGTGGGACAAGCCAAATGGTCATGGATGGCGGTGCCGCGGCCGCTACGCCATGTCGAACGTTTTGACAATGCTGGCAGAGGTGCATGGGGCTCTTTGAAGTTCTTGCTTTTCATACCTAAACAGTACGTGACACATTAGATGGGAGCCGAAAGTAACCATTATTGACATTTGCAATAGATCCGCAACTGTAATAGGTGCTCTGGTTGTGATAGCTTCCTACGCCACCGGCCCCCTATCCCAACAAGCCGTCAAAACATACCCTTGCGAGGTTTCGTCCAAGGGTGTTGCTCGCATCTCAGTTGCAGAACGGGCTACAAACGTGGACTCCCCGCGAGCTATTGGATTCCTCAGTCCGCAGATGAGCACCGTCGCCATTAATGGTTTACTTGGTATCCCTCCCGACGTTTCTCAGCTGTTCCAGTGCGATTCGGGCAACTGTGTATTCGAAGCCATGTCTGGAATCACGCATTAATCCGTGGGGCTTTGTAGCAAGTGCACCGATGTGAGATCCGAGTTGCAGGAATTTGACCGGTTCGGGTACAAGTTTCTCGACAGGTATCAGACAGAATACCGCTTCCACAACGACTCTTCGTTTGGGGTCAACACCAATATCGAACCGACATTATTCAATGCGACAATAACGGGTAACTTTACGGTCGGCACGTCTTTCCTAACGCTGTCGGTGGCAGGCTGTGTCGCACAACCAAATGCAGAAGCTCAGGCAGATCGATACTGCGGACACGACTATAAAAACATGCCAAAACTCAGCTCTGACCTCGACATTGTTGCTGCTAATTGCAGCCTCAAACCTTGTCTTCGCCGTTAGCATGGAAACATTACCAATGGCACTCTCAATGAGAAAGTAATCTCAACTGAGCTGATAAAATCCACAGAACGGGGGTCTAACCTGGGGTACGTAACGACAATCCGGCCTTGTCTTGTCAGTGGAAAATGGTACGACTTATCCAACATCACCAACGCCCCTCGGAACGGCTTGAACTGGACCTCGTGGACTTCAAACGGAGCTACCCAGGAGGCTCCGGCACAGTGTGTTAGATCTTTGCACATCGAAGAGTTTTCTGGCATCATGAGTTTCCTCCAGCGGACTCTGAATGGTTCTTGCAAGTTGTATGATGCGTTTGAAGACGGGCCAACATCGCCCGACGCCGATAATGGCATCGGGCAGGAAAGCATGCTGGATTGCAACACCGGCTGGTGGATTGACGCACTCTACAATGGGGGGAGAGCTACGTTCGAGGGCTTTGCAGAGGCTCACGACAACATGGCAACAGCTATCACGAATCGGATGCGTGTCAACGGACGAACTTGGTCAGGTACAGAGAGTTATCAGGAAGGGACCTGCAGCAAAACATCGATTTGTGTAAGGCTTGAAAAATGGTGGCTACTTTACCCTGCGGCACTTCTAGTATTGACATCGGCCCTGCTCGTAACCGCATATGTGCAAAGCTGCCGAGACAGTGGAAGACAGCCCATCTGGAAGTCGTCGATCCTTCCTCTGCTATTCTACAGCATATAGAAAGAGCACGATTCGGATGAACGTCATGATGGCCCAGCCAATGACTCTTCGGTACCTCTTTTACCTCTCGCTGAACTAGAGTCTCGAGCCGACAAGACGATAGTGAGTTTTTGTGGCGGTAAGGAAGGCGCAAGGTTCATCGTTGAAGAAGGGGTGGTGGAAGCCAAGTGAGAACCGGGAAGTAAAGATGTTTCCTTGGTGGCTGATGGGTATGGGTGGAATTGGTGTGGGAATAGGTATGATGTGATGATAGCTTCAGTACCCCATGCGTGTAGACGAATAGGGACAGAGACCAAACCTTTATTTAACCTTATTATAGCCTCTAAGTCCTGCACCAGCTGCCCTACGCCATTGTGACTTCATGCAACGGCATGTTTTCTACAACATGGCTTCTAGAGATAGGCCGACTACCTTCCAGCGTCGCGATGCTATTATGACCTATGGCACAGATAGAAACGTCTGAGTTCCATGACTCTGCACTGCTAGGCTGTCTCTGTTGTGCCAAGAGATATTGCGTGGGGAGTTTGTTTGCAATGATATCTCGTCACTCCATAGCCACTGAACTCTTCATTTTTAGTGAAGATATATGACACTCTCGCCTCTGCGTTGATTCCTGACGAGTGCCTCCCAGCGAGCTTATTCCAACTCCCGCGCGGTGTACCTCACTGTTGGCTTCGGTTGGATGCTTGATGGTTGAGCCGGGACTTCAGCCGCTCTCGGCGACGTCCACCTTCGGGCCGTTCGGGATTCGCTTTCCGTTGTGAGTCAAGACAATCTGCGACCCGTCCTCCCCATCCTCGGCATGACGCATCGTCACGCCAATACCTCGCAGACCCTCCTCGTCCGCTCGCTGATTCCAGAGCATCTGCTGCACAACCCCTTCCCTTGAGCACGAGATGAATCCCATGGGCCAGCGGCTCCGTCCCAGAGACTCTCGTACGCCCTTGCTTGCCGGCTTCTCGCTAACCAGGAAGGCAATGACTCCTTCACCACGCCAGCCCACAGGGGCGCCGATGAAGGAACCTTCCAATTCCCTGACTATCGAGGGGCCGACGCGTTGGGCACCCCCTTTACACTGAATTATGACCTTCAGATTCTCAGTTCGTGAAGGAAGACTCCAGGTGCCGAGGAGGTCAATGCCTTGGTCGAATGCTCCGCCTACACGCTTGGCGTGGATGCCGTATTGGGCGAGTGTTGAGGAGACTGTGTACTCATAGTGAGTTCCGACGTACACCGTTGATGCCACATCAAGCCCGGTACGACTTGCGTATGCAAGAAATGATGTAATGTCATGGTGGTTTGTTGATGGAGCGTCAGGGTATAACAACTCCGGACCCTTCTCTTGTCGTTTTCTCAATGATGGACATGTCGATAGGGGAGCCGAAAGTATTGATGGAATGGTTGGTCGGTTGTGGCGGGACAAATGCCTTGGTAATGAGCGTAATAGAGCTTGCATGCTCTTGATATTTTGAAACCAGAATCAGGAAATGATCAAAACTCGGCAGGCAGGTTCACATGTTACAAGTACTGGAGAAGCATCCATCCATGTTGTTCCCTGAATTGAGCACATTCAGACCGAAAGGTTGGCTGCAGTTGAAAAAGGTACGTACCGCAGCTCCCATGCGATCCTGGGCTGGCCAGTGCGTTCACGCCTAGGTGCATAGCGGCCGGCCCGCAGAACAACCTCCAGCATCGCATTCGCAACCTCCAAGGTTGTCTGTCACTATTTACTACATTGCGCAGAATTACTGCAGTACCGGCGCGATGGGCGACAGACTCACTCAATTGCAAGACGCTGTGGACCAGGTATGTCTAACTGTCTCTCTCTCATCTGCCCATCTAGCAAATGCTAACTTCCGTCTCTAGCTTGCCCAGCAATTCGTCGCAAGCTTCCACTTCGTCCACCGGCGCCATGATCTCGAGCTGCTCGGACCCAACGATAAGATTAGAGAGGTCAAACAGGATCCGGAACAGAAAGAGGGTATGCAATTATAGACCTGAATATGACAGACAAATGCTAAACAAGCTTGCTCGCAGTCGATCCCCTCCCCGCAGACGAATTCAAAGATGGCCTAGCCGAGCTGTCGCGCGACCTCATCATCAAGGAACAACAAATCGAGGTCCTCATCTCCAGCTTGCCGGGCTTGGACAGCAGTGAAGCCGACCAGGAGCGCTATATCCAGGAGCTGGAAGACGAGCTCAAGGTCGCAGAGAGTCAGAGGCAGGACGCGATACGAGAGAAGGACCAGATTCTGGCAAAGCTTGATGAGGTGATCAGAAGCGTTCGACGGCCGTGATACGTCACATTGGTCACCGGGACAGCATTGCATTTGGGGTGTTATGGGCGTTGAAAAAGGTCAAACGGGGGGTATTCAAGTTTGAGGTTATCTATGAATTAGCGATACCCAATCCAACACAGAAAACGTGTTTCCGAGCCTTTCATCTTCGTATACTACTGGCTTGGATCCTTCTTCGCCTTCTATTCGTTTCCGTCTACGGTCGTTCAGTCATTGTTCTTGGTTGTAAAAGTCTAAGCGTTCTTGGACTTGAAGAATTGGGGAAAGGCGTCTCGCAGCTCCCTGAGGTGACGGATCTGATGCGCGGATGCAGGTGTCCTCGGCACAGGGAGATCTTCCTCAACAAGATGCGCTACGTTCCAGCCATAGCCCTGGGCCTTTTGGCAGTTCAAGTAAGAGTCGTCTATGGCAGATAGTCAGCGCTGTATCTCTCAGTGGTGAATTAGTGACGACATACCAACAAAGTAGCAATCCTCCATCTTTTCAACACCTGCCTCACGCATGGCCCTCAGGTACATCTCCTTGGCAGGCTTGCAGACAAGCGGCGCCTGTCCGTAGTCGCAGAAAGTGAGGCCGTCGAAGAGGTCTTCAATACCCAGCAGCTTGATCACGCGCTTAGCGTGGTTCACATAGGCGTTGGTGAGAAGCCACATGGTGCACTTGCTCTTGTCGACATCTTCAAGCAGCTCGCGCAGCTCAGGATTCGGGCTGAGGATCTCCTCGAGCGGTAGGGCGTCGTCGACCTTGGAATTATACTCCAAGGGGTCGATCTCATGGTGGCGGACCAGGCCTTCAATTGCGAGGCCGTAGTTGGTGTAATACTCCTTGTGCAACTTCACTGCGTCATCCCAGCTGAGTACGAGGTGCTTTGCGAAGTACTCGTCAATCAGCTGGGCCATGTAGTCCTGGACCTTTGAACCTAGAGAGAGTCAGACTTGATGATGCCGTATGAATATCTTCCAGTACTCACTTCTCGGGTAGAGGCAGTTATCAATGTCACTGTGCGACTGTTAGTTGAGGTGTTCATCCGCATTGACGAGGTTTAACTTACAAAAACAGCACAGGTTTTGAAGTTGACACTCCATTTGTCTGGGCTTTGCTGGGCTCCATGGCTGATGTTGTATAGTATGCGCCTTCTAGTCTATGTCTGAAGATAGAACGTGGAAAGGAAAGAGGCTTTCGTTGTCTGATGCTGTGATTTGTTGTGAAAGGCTGGGTCTTTGGTGAAGAAAGGGGCCGAAGTCGGGCTGAAGAAGAGAAGCTTCGAGGTATGTTTGGTGGGAGTCTGGTCGGCATGAAGCAAGCGAAACCACTATGGTCTGGAGTTTGACACTTATGTTTCTTTTCCTTGGACTCAAAATTGGAATACGTCGTTGCTGGCTTACAAATGCAGCATGGGGCTTTGTGAGGCTTGTCGCGATACTTTGGCAGAAGTATTTAGTGTTGACTCACGCCGATTTTATGTCCCGCATGCCGCGTTGCGCTGTTGAGGTAATTCCAGGAAGCTACAGGGAGCTGTTTCCGGCAGACGGGGGACCTTGGCGCTAAACATTAGTGGTGACTCTGACCAAAATACACCGAGGCTGGGGAGCTGGTGACATAACTCGCTTAGCTGCATGGCCCACCCAAGCCTGAATCACCCATCCAGGTCCACAACTGGTTTCGATTCTTATAAGGATTTATCCTTGTAGGAAAAGTTCACAAATAAACCACTACTGATGGCCCACGACCCATCTCTTTTCCTCTCAACATCCACCAGCGGCACGACGCCTTTTCTTCATCTCCCACGACATTGCAGAAATTACTGCACACAAGGCTGCTGTGCTTCGGGTATAGTCAACAGTGCTGATTCTTACGATATTGGTAGTCCTGCTTGTCTTCTTGGATTCCTTTCTTTCGCGCTTTCTTGTTCTGCTGCGGAGGATTTCCTTGCGCAAATTGCACTTCGCCATGGCTCAAGGCCAGCTCGCATCAGTACCGCCGTTGGCAAATGGGACATCGTTGGGTCTTTCAAGAGATGAGCTACACCAGATACAGCAGTACGAGAGGATCGTGCAGTTTCGCGATGTCATTCTTGCTGGCTCGCATTCCAAGATCAAGGTGCCAGCTCAGTTGGCGAGCCAAACACCAACCTCTGCCATAGCATCTTCATCAAACCCTTCCACACCAGCAAAAGAGACAAATGGAAGCACAGCGCAGGGTTATCAAGTTGGGAATCCGCAGTCGTTCGCGACCACCACGCCACAAGCTTCTCTTCCTGGTTTAGGAAATCCGCCTCCTGCTAACGCGAACCTGCCCGCAAGACCGTTCGTTAGCTCTGGCAAAACCGAGATCAATCCCATTTTTCTTCAAAAGTCCGATGATCTCATCAAGGCCGAGATACAGCTCCAGAGGCAACGCCTTGAACGGGCACTGCGCGACGAGGTTGATCAACGTCGGGCTTCTATGAAGGCCTCGGCGCAGTCTGAGCCTCTGGCCGACTTCGACCTCTCCGATGTGCTGTCCAAGGCTCTGACTCTGGTCCAAGCTGCTGCTCCTTCGTCTGTCAATGCTACGCTAGCTGCTGCTAACATTTCAGCTGCAAGTGACTCCGTTGATGAGAACTCTTACTATTCTTCCCAAGTCAATTCGCCAGATTCGTCGCACCGCAGCTCGCGCGGCGGTAAAGATGCCGAGGTCACGACACAGACACACAAGGCTTCCACCGCAGGCCAGCCATTCGAAGGCCAGTCGCAAGTACAAGCAAACCAGAAGGCTCAAGCTGGCCTGCAGTCCTCAATATCCCATGCCTCTGCTACTCATCAGCCACAGGGCCAAGCCTCGAACTCCAATCCCTTCCAATCGCGACCAGTTCCAAGCCGACCCGATGCCGCGCCCGAATTTTCTCGATACCCGTCGGTAGGAACGACGCAAAGAACGGATAGGGGTGATAATACGGGGTTGTCTACATCAGGAGGTGGGAGCGGAAACACCAGTCGTTCTGAAGAGTCAGGCGTTATGGACCTTGACGACAGTGCTGATCGATCTGTTCCTGCCGCAGGTCAACAGCAACTTAGGGAGTCCATGCTCGCTCGCCAACCCTCGCCTTTGATACAGGTTCGCGCCCACAACATATCCCCCTTAGCGCCCCAGCCCTCCCATGTCTCGCCTCTTGCAATGGTCAGAGGTCAAGCGGCGGATGCTCAAGACTTGACCATCCCTCAAGGAACCACAGCTCAAGTTGCAGCACTACGCAACGAGCCCAACATTATTTCCAGTCCAGATAGCTCGCCGCAAGGGGGTCGAAGCGGAGAGAAGCGGAAGGGGAAGAAGAAGAAGAATGGCAAGAGGGCAGCCAGGCAAGCGCCAGACGAGCTTTACATCAAGCCAGAACCGCGATCGCCGTCCCCGATGAATGCGCCGTCTTTCATTCGGCCACAGAAGCGGCAAAGAAGACAGGGTGACGAGGAGCCTCGCTATGCCCAGCCTGAGCGTCAATTTTCTCGATCTTACAGGGAGGAAGGTGCTGCGCCCATGTACGATGCCCAAGAGTATCGCCCGCGACCAGCAAGTCAAGCCGCGGCGATAGGTGACTATGGGTATGGACGAGAGTACATTGAGGAGCCCCGCGTTATGAGCGGCGCTGAGTATGTGCGACATGTGCCGTCGCCTGGTGTCTATGCAGTTCATGCTGCGCCAAGTGAGGTGTACGCAACATCCCCAGCCAGTGTCGATCGCTACGGTAGGGAACCTCCACGGTACTATCGTGATGGTTACGAAGTGACGCGCATGAGCACTCGTCCCATGACAGATCGTGCAAGATCTCGCTCGCCCGTCATGAGAGAGAGGGCGTCCCCGCTAATGGGACCACCCAAAGCGCCGTCCGGTAGGGTTGTGGTAGATCCCGCTACTGGTCGTCGATACTACGAGCCGCCGACTGTCGTTCGCCAGTCTGTTGCGCCGTCACCACTTCGACCCGCCGAGCCCGAGGTTATCTACGAGAGAGCACCTATTCGAGCAGAGTCGAGACGCCCCGGCCCACCCCCTCGGGATGACGACGTCCTCTACCAGCGTACTTCGCCGGTGTACGCGGCGCCTAGGAGAGTCGTCACGCAACCCGAGTACGTGTCAGACCCTCAACGAATCTATAGACAGCGAGAGTACTCGACGAGGCCAATGGCACCTCCGGGCGAAGAGTTCATTCCTGCCAGAGGTGGTATGGAACAGCGGAGGATTATTGAGGAAGCCCAGAGAGAGTATATGATGCGGGCAACAACGGCTCGCCCTGCGGAGACGGCGGTACGATATGAGCTTCCGCGAGAGTACGGAAGAGTTCAGAGTGTTAGGCCGGAGCAGATTCCCATCCAGGACTACGCCTCGGGGTCCATGCACCCCGACGCTCGTCGGGAGATGATTCAACCTGGACCTCGGCCCTATAGTGTGCGGCCCGCCGAGCCTCAGGTGGTGCGGCGGGAGTATAGTGCCAGGCCGGTGGAGCAGCAGCCTTACTACGGACAGCCGGTCCCCGCACGGGGCGAGCCGGAGGTGTCATACATTGAACGGCCCATGTACTACACCGACGAGGCTCCGCGCCCAGTCTACCGATGAAGGGAACTGAGATCCTATTCTGGTCTTGATATGAGACAGACTTTTTTATGCGGTATCGGAATTGGCGGATTATAGGCGTCAGGGAATGCTGGGACTCAGCTTGCGGAACTCTTTTAGGGGGGAGGGTTAAAAGGTCTTTTGGATGGGACGGAGTTTCGGCAAGAGGAACCGGATGGAGGGGAATAGGGTGAATACCTAGTCACTAGCGGTAATCAGCAGCGTGTGTACGTTTATATAATCAGGAAAATCCACTTATTCCCATTCAGTTGACATGCTACCTTCTGGTGATATTTCCTGAGCAGAACAAGCTGGCAGACACCTAGGCAGAAGCAGCGAGGGAGGCAACGATCAAAGAAGGAAACTACCTAGAAACTCGAGACAACGTTGCATAAAGTATAGGTCTCGGCGAATAGACCTAAATCGTGACAAACTTTGGGTCCTCACACAACAAACATGAAAGAAAGGACGATATGACAACGATTGAGTTTCCCCATTCAAGGGAATGTAGGTAAGACAGACACATTGGGCTTTTACACAATGGGCCGCGCGCAAGCACAGACTTTGGGCTCTCGGAGCGTCGTCGTCTGTAGATTTTCTTTCCGTTTTTCTAGTCACCGCATCCTTTCTTTTATGGGAGGGATATGGCGTACTTCCTTTCTTGGTTTGATCCCCAGACCATTTGTGTCCGTTCGCCTAAGATAGGACACAGAGTGATGGTGACCTGGCGGCCCATCCTTTAGGCCTGAAGGGAGTAGGTGCAAGTTGGTATCCGTACACGGTGAAGTGGACTTCGGATCCGACGGATGGGGCCTGATTTGCACATTACATGAAGGGATACATGAACAGCACGAAGAAGAAATAACGCTCTGTTGTGGATTTCGTTTTTGGCTGACTGTGGTTATGAAGTCATTGCGAACCTCACTCAGCGATTGTGGACTCTAAGGAAAAGCGCTGCCTGTCGGGTTTCCCGCGCCTCAAGTTCGTGTAATGTGTGGGTGGGGGGAGTGGGGGGGACTCAACGAAGATCTGTATCCGCAGAAGGAACACTGATGATAACTGTACATGGAGAAAAGGAATACTGTACGGATGCATATTCGTACAAAAAGATGGAAAGAAAAGTCAACCGAAGTATGGAGAGTGGGTTCCGTTCTATGCGAGACTGAGGCATATTCCCTTTCGTGCCAAAGTTGGGTTGGTCAGAGATCTTCTAGTGGGCGGATCTGACAAAGTCTAATTATCTGCCGTCTGTCCCTGTCCCTCGCAAAGCGCTGTTGGTCAGACGTAGATAAACGATTCAACGCAAGCCGGTTTTATTTGATTAGCTGCTCTGATAAACTGATAGCGAAGGACGCACGAAAGTCGGCAGGGGGAGGAAAAGGAAACATCATACATTGGGGGGGTCAACACTACCGATGCATACTCTAAACCATGGCCCATTGCCCAACATATGTCTTCCGGCGGGTCCGGCACACGAACGTGTTCGGTGTCGTAGCCCTTGCATCAGGGTGACTGCTCGTTCCGTG